TCTCTCTCTCTCTCTCTCTCTCTCTCTCTCTCTCTCTCTCTTTCTTTCTTTTTTTGTGCTGGGGATTGAACCCAGGGCCTTGTGCATGCAAGACAAGCACTCTACCAACTGAGCTATATCCCCAGCCCCCACCTCTTGACTTTTGATTGATAGTATGATATCAAACTTTAAAGTCCTCTATTGCACATGACAACTCTAGGTCATTTTGTCCATACTGATCAGTTCTAACTGGAACCTGTTCTTAAAAGTTTCTTATCCATATTATTTTAGGCCTGCATTTTTCCTGAAGATAGTAGGTAGTAAGGGCTAGGGATATAGCTCAGCTGGTAGAGTGCTTGCCTGCAAACACTAATCCCCAGTACCACCACCATACCAAAAAAAAAAAAAAAAAAAAACCCCAATAAATAAAAAACAACAACAACAAATGCCCAGAAAAAGGAAGAAAAATGAACTTGGAAAACACCCCAAATTTGAAAGAAGAATTGTTTACATTTTGAATGGGTTCTTTCAAAGCACTGTAAAAATTATAATGATTTTAACCAAGCTTTACCATAATGCTATGTAAACTTAGTAGCAGGCTTAATTTGGTAATAGGTTTAATTTTTTTTTTAAAAAAAGACAGGTGGTTTATTTTTTTAATGTATACCCTTCCATATCATTGAAATGTTTGCCAAATGAATGTACTGTTTGTACACCTATTTAAATGTAGGACTATAAGGACACAGCAAAATAAAAATAGAAAAAAATTTTAAAGTGAAAGATTCCATCAAGCTACTAATTTCGACAGATTTTTTAAAAAATCACATTAAGCGATTTACTCTTTTTTTTTTTAATTTTTTATTTTTTTATTGGTTGTTCACAACATTACAAAGCTCTTGACATATCATATTTCATACATTAGATAAGCGATTTACTCTTAACTTTTGTTTTGGATTTAACCTAGTCAGGTCAAGCAAATTAATACAATTACAAGATGAACATAGTCAGAACAGATTCTCTTTCTGCCTCTCAACTATTCTGGAGAGAGAATAATTATAAACTAACGCTATGTGAAGTGATATGATATGTGCAATGATATGATGCTATTTCATTGCAGGCATGATTACAAGGCTCCGCCACCCTGTGTCAACCAAGGCCAACAAGGTCCCAGTCTCTGTGTCCCTGGGAAGTGGTATGGATACACCTTTTGGCTCTTAAACTTCATTTCCCACCATTTTTGGTTGAAGCATAAATAGTTAACTAACTGGAAAAATGAAGGAAGATAGGAAGGAAGGTCCTGTTCAGATTGTTCAGCTCTGGAGATTGAGATTATTTCTTCTTCTTCTTCCTCTTCCTCTTCCTCTTCCTCTTCCTCTTCCTCTTCTTCTTCTTCTTCTTCTTCTTCTTCTTCTTCTTCTTCAAATTGTTGATAGACATTTATTTATTTATTTATATGCGATTCTGAGACTTGAACCCAGTGCCTCACACATGCCATGTGAGTGTGCTACTGCTGAGCCACAGCTTCAGCCCCTTGAGTCATTTCTTTTCATTCTATCTACCCAACTGAAATCTGTACTCTCCCCAGCAATACCCAAAAGATTATCAAATTTTTCCTCTTATTTGATCCTACCATTATTCTCTAGCACCCCATTGCCTGTCCTTTTACCTAGCTTCTGGGCCCATTCCATGGAGCTAGCCCTCACCTTAGTGTTTTGGATAATAACATCCACCTAGACTGCAGTTTCATTAACAAAATTTAACAATATTTTACCAACCTAAGGGCATCAAACACATTTTGACACTGATTTCTCCAAGATGCTTCTGGTTGGTAGTATTTTACTCTAGGTCTTTTTTTTTTTTTTTTTTTTTGATACTGGGGATTGAACCCAGGGGTGCTTAGCTGCTGAGGCACATCCCCAGCCCTTTTTATTTTGAGACAGGGTCTGACTGAATTGCAGAGGCTGACCTTGAACTTTTGATCCTCCTGCCTTAGCCTCCTGAGCTACTAAGATTAAACTTTCTTATTGGTAATTGCAGCTGCTTTAAGAACAGTGTTGGGCTGGGGATGTGGCTCAAGCGGTAGCATGCTTGCCTGGCATGAGTGCGGCCTGGGTTCGATCCTCAGCACCACATACAAACAAAGATGTTGTGTCCGCCGAGAACTAAAAAAAATAAAAAATAAATATATAAAAAAAGAACAGTGTTTTCCTGAACGGTGTTATGTGTGTCATAAGACCACATTATTAAAGATTTTTTTTTTGAGTTACTGACTTAAATTTAAAAGTTTTGGCCAGGTGTGGTGGTGTTTACCTGTAATCCCAGCAGCTCAGGATGCTGAGGCAGGAGAATGAAGAGTTCAAAGCCAGCCTCAGCAATTTAGTGAGGCCTTAAGCAACTTAATAAGACTCTGTCTCAAAGTACAAAAAGGGCAAGTTTTGTTGTTCTTCATATGTCAATATAAAAATCTCACTAAGGAGGAAATCACTTAGGAAGCTGTTGGTCCTAAAGCCTTCTGTACTCATCCTTAAGAGTGTCTGTCTTGCCTTCTTAGGAATCTGGGAACTGAAAAGAGAAGAGATCACCCTGTTGAAGGAGCTGGGAAGTGGCCAGTTTGGTGTGGTCCAGCTGGGCAAGTGGAAGGGACAGTATGACGTTGCCGTTAAGATGATCAAGGAGGGCTCCATGTCAGAAGATGAATTCTTTCAGGAGGCCCAGACCATGATGTAAGTTTCTCCTAAGGAATGACATTTTGGCTTTCATCACAGGAGGGCATTAGTACTCATGAGCCTGTCCCTAATATATGCAAGGCCTGAGCAAGTGTCCTCATGTCATAGAAATATTTAGAAGTTACAAGTTGAGCTAACAAACTTAAATAACAGTTTGTGCTGTTACTATTACTTTGACACATCATAAGAGTTTGAACAACCTGATTTGAATTCAGAATTCTGACTCTACAATGTGACCAGCCTTTGGTCCTCCAAACTCCACCCTTGCCCTTTCTCCTCCCATCCACAGGTAATTCAAGCAGACAGCATTCAGCCCAGGCTCCCTCCTGTCTCCAGAAACAACCATCTATTAGCTACTGATCTTAACTAGAGGTAGCAAGGTTCGCCCTTGAAGGGATAGACCCAAGGAGTGTTCTGGAAGAAGCCTCAGGACTATATGGACAGGGGGGTCCAGAGTCCCGGCACCCCAAGAGTGGCTAAGAAAGGGATATACAGGCTGTGCAGGAAGGTCTCCTTCACACTGTGGCCTTTCTGACCCTTGAGGAGGTGCATGGTGGGATGAGGGAGAGAGTGGTGCTACTGCCCAGGACTAAGACGACACTGTAAAGTAATGCGCTATCACCAATATCCTTTTCCTTCTTGATACCTTCAATACAGTCTGGTAAAAATCCCTTCTCACCCTACTATTTTTCTTTCCTGATAAATGAAGATTTCCTTCCTAATGAATCTAGATTCCAAGCATAATCCTCAGTTCTTAGCAACACGTCTCATCACTCGTGTGTGTGTGTATGTGTGTGTGTGTGTGTGTGTGTGTGTGATGTACATAATTCACCCTCTTTTTGTCAACATGGTAAATCAGACTTTGTAAGGTAACCAATCCTCCAGGTTTACCTGGGACTTTCCTGGACGTACCACTGAAAGTTCTGTATCTCAGAAACCCCTCAGTCCCAGGCAAACCAGTGCAACTGATCCCTCTACTTTGGAGGAACCAAGTATCAGGGTATGAAAACAATATTACAGTAGGGGTTTTGTCAAAGATAATTGAAATTGCAAATCCTAGCCTATTTCAGATTAAAAGCATATTTAAACTTTGTACTGACAATCCTTCTTTTTCAGGGCATCTGGAAAATGGAGTAGAGCACTGAACTTTGAAAATCTGTTCTTTCCAGGAAACTCAACCATCCCAAGCTGGTTAAATTCTATGGAGTGTGTTCAAAGAAATATCCCATATACATAGTGACTGAATATATAACTAACGGCTGTTTGCTCAATTATCTGAAGAGTCATGGAAAAGGACTAGAACCCTCCCAGCTCTTAGAAATGTGCTATGATGTCTGTGAAGGCATGGCTTTCTTGGAGAGTCACCAATTCATACACCGGGACTTGGTAAGCTAAGCCACTGGAAGCTCGAAGAATGGAAAGGAAGTGTCCACCTCCAGGGATGGGCCACTCGGAAGGATAGCAAGGAGGGCATCCTCTCTTTTACTTTGCTTACTTGTAACTTGTATAAGCACATAACACTTTTGTAATAAAAATCATGACTTTAGAGCTGAGCATGTTGGTGCACGCCTATAATCCAGGCAACTTGGGAGACTGAGGCAGTAGGATTGCAAGTTGGAGGCCAACCTCAGCAACTTACTAAGGCCCAAGGCAACTTAGAACTTAATGAGACCCTGTCTCAAAGTAAAAAATGAAAAGGGCTGGGAATGTAGCTCAGTGGTTAAGCACCCCTGGGTTTAATCCCTGATATATATATAAAAAAAAAAGGAAATGAAATTTGTGGATCCTTGGGTTGGGATGGGAATGGAATGGAGAGCATTGTGGGTGGCATTACCTGAGGTCCATTTTTAGAGATGTTCTTGTGGTGCATACAAACATGCCATGCCCATCAGGCCAGTGTATTCATTCTATAAGTCACTGGTGCAGTGTTTATATGACTTCAAAATATTTGTTAAAGTTCAGTATCCAGTGGTAGAAAGAGCACCTAGAAATTTTTCCTCTCTCCTTGGTAAGCTAATGTTGTGTGTTAAATATATACTTTCATATTGTTTGACAAGAATGGGTGCTGGGTGAAAATTCTTATGGGAAACACATTTGTATTTTGAAAAAATTGAAAATTGCAAGGAGAAAAAAAGACAACTTCAAAGTATTTGGAGCCTGGTATAGTGGTGCACGCCTGTAATCCCAGTGACTCGGGAGGCTGAGGCAGGAGGATCACAAGTTCAAAGCCAGCCTCAGGAACAGCAAAGCATGAAGCAACTCAGTGAGACCCTATCTCTAAATAAAATACAAAAAAGGGCTGGCGATGTGGCTCAGTGGTCGAGTGCCCCTGAGTTCAACCCCAGTACCCCCACAAAAAAGCATTTGGGGTTATTATAGGCAATATTAGATTTTGCCTAGAATTCTGCTGCAGCAGAAAAAAAGTGATTCTGATATCAGGAAATTCTTGGGTACTTTTATCACTCAGAGATTTGTTTTTCCTCCAAAGGCTGCTCGGAACTGCCTGGTGGACAGTGACCTGTCTGTAAAAGTCTCTGATTTTGGAATGACAAGGTAAGCCAATAATCAGCTTTTTTTTTTTTCCCCTGATGTTTGATATTACAGTAGAGATTTCTAACATATTTTGCTGTGTAGCATTCTTATCAATTATATTCAATTTTTTGACTTCTGAAATTTTCATTCTCTTATTTTGTCTAGTTGATTCATTTTGTTTGTGATCTAGGGTTTCTTTTTATTTTTTTAAATTTTTTTAGATGTATGGACCTTTATTTTATTCATTTATTTATATGTGATGCTGAGAATTGAACCCAGCGCCTCACACATGCCAGGCAAGTGTTCTGCCACTGAGCCACAGCCTCAGTCCCTGTATTAGGGGTTTTTTTTGTGAGCAAATACATGGTATTCCTTCTGCTAATTATATAACTAATATGCATATATTATAAGAAATATAGCATTAGTATGTAAAGTAAAAAATAGAGTCTACCCCAAGTCCTTCCGACCATTCCAGCAATTTAGCAAGGCCCTAAACAACTCAGTGAGACCCTGTTTCAAAATAAAAAATAAAAAGGGCTGGGGATGTGGCTCAGTGGTTAAGCTCTCCTGAGTTCAATATGTAATACCAGAAAAAAGATCAGAAAATACAAGCAAAAATATACCTTGAGAGATAGAATCACAGTCATCTTCAGGGTGGGATTCCGAGTGATTTTTTTCATTTGTCTATTTTTTGTGTTTTCCTCTATTTACCACTTTTCATTCATGTTTTGCTATTTTCAAAGTTACATTTTCTAAATATTTGCAAATCATGAGAAGCTTTTAATTAAACTGACACATGGAAAGGAAAGTAAAAGATCCAGAAAACCAGGGCATTCATTCAGCTAAGATTCTGGATGCCCTTCACCAGCCTATTCTACCACACAGGCAATAGTGGCCAGCAGAGGTTGTTTTAGTCAGCTTTTTTGCAGCTGCGACTAAAAGATACAACCAGAACAATTATAAAGGAGAAAAAGTTTGTTTCTGGACTCACAGTTTCAGAGGTCTCAATGCATAGACAGCAGGCTCCATTCCTTGGGGGAGAACATCATGGAGGAAGAGTGTGGCAGAGGGAAGTAGCTCACGTGATGATCAGGAAGCAGAGAGCAAGATTCCACTCTCCAGATACAAGATATATACCCTATAGCCATGCCCCCAATGCCCCACCTCCTCCAGCCACACCCCACCTGCCTCCAGTCACCACTCAGTTAATCCCATCAGGCATCAATTCACGGATTGGGTTAAGGCTCTCACAATCAGATCATTTCTCCTCTGAACCTTCTTACATTGTCTCACACGTGAGCTCTTGGGGGATACCTCATCTATACCATAACAGAGGTCTTCCCATTTTGCATCACCATGTACTTAATGTCTGTGTTGATGTTTCCCCCTAGGTATGTTCTTGATGACCAGTATGTGAGCTCAGTAGGAACAAAGTTTCCAGTCAAGTGGTCAGCCCCAGAGGTGTTTCACTACTTCAAATACAGCAGCAAGTCAGACGTATGGGCATTCGGTAAGGAAGTGGCCACACAGGACCTGGCCCTGTTACAAAAGCTGGCTTCCACAACAGGAAACCACAAGTGCAACAACATCCATTTTAAAGAGGCCATTTTACAAAATTATACATATGGCTTGAGACAAGCAAGAAATTGAAGAAGATGACTTACCTTCTTAGGTTGGGTGTTAGGATGTCCTGTGCACATCGCATAATTTACATCCTCCTTACATTTTTTTCATAAAGTCAAAGGGAATAAAAACTCTTCCAATGAAGATTTCAAACATTTTTTAAAGGAGTCATTAAAAACTAAATCTGAGTTTGCTTAAAATCCAGAAAGTTGAAAGACTTAAGATGGAGTCATTTTCTGTATGAAAGTAACTGATAACTATTCCCTTCTGAATAGACCAATTCTTTGGGCATCCCTAATGGAAGCATCAGACATGACTCAGCACTTTCTTCAGCTTAGTATTAGCTTTTCATCACTATAACATATATCTCACATAATCAACTTATAAAGAGGATAGGTTTGTTTTGGCTCACAATCTTGGAGGTTCTAGTCCATGATCAATTGGCTTCATTGCTTTTGGGCCTGTGGTGAGGCAGCACATGGTGAAGCAAAGCTGCTCACCTCATAGCCAGAAAGCAAAAAAAAAAAAAAAAAAGAGAGAAGAAGAGGGGCTAGAGTTATGGCTCAGTGGTAGAGCACTTGCCTGTCATGTGAGAGGCACTGGGTTCGATTCTCAGCAACACATATAAACAAATAAATAAATAAATATCCATCAATAACTAATAAAAAAATTAAGGAAAAAAAAGAGAAGAAGAGGAGGAGCAGGGGACCCACTAGCCCCTTTAAGGGCACACTCCCAAGAACCTAAACACCTTCCACTAAGCCCCACCTTTTAAAGTGTCCACACCTCCCAATAGCATCAACCTGGGGACCAAGCCTTTGACATATGGTCTTTGGAGGACATCAAGACCCAAACAAGAGCAAGTTCAGTCCTCATTTCAAGTAGTCTCCTTTCCTTATTAAAATTCATAGTTTAGATTGGGGCCAGGAATAAAAACAGGTGACCTATTTCTGTAAATAAAGGGTTTTTTGGTTGTTGTTGTTATTGTTGTTGTTGTTGTACCAGAGATTGAACCCAGGGGCACTTAACCACTGAGCCACTTCCCCAGACCTTTTTAAAAAATATTTTTATTTACAGACAGGGTGTCACTAAATTGCTTAGGGCCTTGCTAAATTGTTGAGGCTGGCCTTGAACTCACAATCCTCTTCCCTCAGCTTCCTAAACCACTGGGATTTCAGGTGTGTACCACTATGCCCACCTATAAATAAAGTTTTATTGGTACACAGCCATGGTCATTTAATTCCACATTGTCTGTGACTGACTTTATGCTACAACAGCAGAGGAGAGTAGTTGCCACAGAGGCCACATGACTCACAAAGCTTAAAATGTTTATTAGGCAGCCCTTTACATAAGAATTTTGTTAAATCCTATTTTATTAAAATATCTAAATTAAAATTTAGTGGTAGAGTGCTTGCCTGGAACGTTCAAGGACCTGGCTTCAATCCCTAGCACTGAAAAAAAAAGTTGGTAAAGGTAATTAGGAAAGGGAATCAATTCTTGTGACTCTATAAATTTTGAGTTTTTTTTTTAATGTGATGAGAATGTCAGCACTGTTTTCAATCACTGTCAGATGGAGTCCAGGATAAGTAATCTAAATTATCATAAAATTATAAAACATATTAAATATGACAGACCTATTTCATGCCTGTCTTAGTTCATAAGTGCAATTTGACTTACTGCTTAACACTTGCAAGATAGTCCCCGAAAAGAAACATTTCATTAGTCATTTATTTTTCTATGAGACACAGGTTTTCTTTTGGGCGGGGGTGGGGGTGGGGGGGTACTGGGAATTGAACCCAGGGTGCTCAAGCACTGAGCCATGTCCCCAGCCCAATTTTTATTTTTTATTTTGAGACAAGGTCTTGCTAAGTTGCCTAGGGCCCTGCTAAGTTGCTGAGGCCATTCTTGAATTCACAATCCTCCTGCCTTAGCCTCCTAAGTTGTTGGGTATGTGACAACATTTTTAAAAATAACTCTTCCCTTTGGATATTTGGCATTATTCATTGGAAAAAAAATCCAATATACACAGAAAAGAAAAATCATGAAGCTAGCATTTTGCTGAATAGTTAATGTCATTTTTGTATTGATTAAATTTTGTACCTTGTTGTCAAAATTAGTTTCAATGTCCACACATCAGTTGATATGTCTAATGAATGATATCTTAAAAATCAGCACTATCATTTAATAGTTTTAACTTGGTTTTGGCCAAAACTCAGCCTATCCAGCCTGAGTATTCACTTTTTGCAATAAAACTTGGCTCTAGATATTTCCTGGCTGCTTATAAACAATAATCCAGTCTTCATTTTTTCCCCCCGTGTGGATGTACAAAATGAATCAGGGCCTCTGAAAGCAGTTCCCAAAGAGAATCCCCACTGATTTTTTTAGCAGTGATGTTAACCTTGAAATAAATGTTTAGACTTCCAAAGAGAAGGTTGTGAGGGAGCAGCACTCTCCTGGATAGTTGTTTTAGAATGTGTTTTTTTTCTTTTTCTTTTTTTTTAAAGAGGAGTCACACTGGGCATGTGATTCAGTGGTTTAGCACCCCTGGGTTCAATTCCTGGTACCAAAAAAAGAGTCACAACAACTTAAAAGATTGCTTTATTTATACAAATCTTACCAAAAATATCTGTAACCTTGAAATAAAAAAAGAGTTAGTATCTCAGTTATGGCTTTAGAAAAATTTTCTTCTGGTTTTCCAAGGTTTTGAATTTGGCAGAATGTTGAAATTCTCTGTCCTTAGACAGAACAGCACTATTCAGACAGCACTTAAAATGTCCTGGAAGACTTTCAAGTATACTTCATGCCATGTCCTACTGAATCTTCATGGCAAGTACATGTGGTATAAATACTCTTTTATATGCAGGGAAACTGAGGCTGGGAGCGACTAAGGAATCTACCCAGCCTATAAGTGGCAGAACTTGGCTTAAAAGTTCTGACAGAGCCGGATGATGGTGGCTCACTCCTTTAATCCCAGTGGTTCTGGAGGCTGAGGTGGTAGGATAGCAAGTTCAAGACCAGCCTCAGCAATTAGCAAGGCCCTAAGTTACTTAATAAGACTCTGTCTCAAAATAAAAAATAAAAAGGTTTGGGGATGTGGCTCAGTGATTAAGGGCCCCTGGGTTTAATCCCTGGTATCAAAAAAAAAAAAATAGTTCTGACTGATTTCAAATGCCACCCTCTTGGCCATCATGACCAGAACTCGGTTTCTTAATGTGGAGTCCACATGCCCTGAAGGATTGTGAATACCCTGAAATTGAACACAAAAATGCTGAAGGGAAAGGCAGTGGCAAGAGAAGGGGAACATCATCAATGATTTTATCTTTTTTAATTGTTTTGGTATCAGGGATTGAACTAGGGGGCACTCAACCACTGAGCCACATCCCCAGCCCTAGTTTGTATTTTATTTAGAGACAGGGTCTCACTGAGTTGCTTAGGGCCTTGCTTAGTTGCTGAGGCTGGCTTTGAACTCATGATTCTCCTGCCTCAGCTGCCTGAGCCGCTGGGATTACAGGTGTGTGCCACTGTGCTTGGCTGATTTTATCTTTACTTCCTCTGAAAGGTAATTCGTGCAATGAAGTTGTTGCACATAACCATCAAAGCAGAGAAAGAGAGGGTGAGGACTTCAATTGATTACTCATAAAGGTTGGGGCCAGGGCTCCCTATACAGTTTGTTGTCACTGTGAGCAGAATGAGGCCCCAGCTGCCTGCCTGGAAAGGCCCAAGAACCTTGGCCCCAAGTGGCCTCCTCTGCACTGCCCTTGCCATTCAATCTTTTTCCAACAAGCACAGTTAGACTGATCTCATGGGATGGAGGAAGAGACCTTGGGCTCCAGAAATGAAGGCACAGTCCCACCCTCCATGCCTGCCCTTTTCCCTAGGACTCACTCCCAGGGATCCCTGGCTCTGATCATGGCCTTCTGTACCTGGATGAGCTAATTCACACTCTGTGCCTTCTCATGTTGACTCTTTGTTTTTTTGGTCTTGTTTTGTTTTTGTCTGTTGACCACCCCTTGGGTGTGGTGCAGGGATCCTGATGTGGGAGGTGTTCAGCCTGGGGAAGCAGCCCTATGACTTGTATGACAACTCCCAGGTGGTTGTGAAGGTCTCCCAGGGCCATAGGCTCTACCAGCCACAACTGGCGTCGGACACCATCTACCAGATCATGTACAGCTGCTGGCACGAGGCAAGTACACCCACGAGTAAGCTGGAAGGGGTCCCGAGTGCATCCAGGGTGGTTGCTGTATCACCACTGGGACAAAATTTTTTCAGGGAAAGCACTTGCTAGATAGAGAAGAGGTGGAAATGGCCCCTGGCTTCTGTCTTCAAACGGTTGAGATCTAAACAAATTGTCAGTTCAGGTGCTGACAATTTACTGAAAGACTTGTGTCTAGCACCATACTATGAACTTTATAAATTTTTTTTAGAATTTTTTTTGGGCGGTACTGGGGATTGAACACAGGGGCATTCGATACTGAGCCACATCCCCAGCCCTATTTTGTATTTTATTTAGAGACAGGGTCTCACTGAGTTGCTGAGCATGTCACCACTGCTCCAAGCATAGTGCTTGGTGCATGGCTGCTTTGCAATTATATGTGCAATAATAATAACAAACAGAAAGTGCTGACTATATACCAGGTACTGTTCTAAGGACTCGATAGTAATTTACCCAATCCATACAATAATCCTTCGAGGAAAGTACTATTTTACAGTGGAGCACAGAGATGTTAGGAGGCTTGCAACTACTGAGTGATTATATCCTATAACAATATTTTATCACATAGCCTTAAATGCTTTCCTAGAACTTGGGCACTTTGTAGTTCCCCACCCTACGCCACTTGGACTAATACGTAAGTTTCCCCTACCCTTTCCTACCCCAAAATTATAGTCCAAGAGTCTCAGGCTGCACTAAAGGGTCAGACCACTCACAACCAGGCTGACTTACTGCTGTCACCTGTCTGAAGAAGAAGAGCAGAAAAGGGTTTTTCAGACGAAGCTGGGCACCTCCTGGGCCTCTCAACTCTAGCTCCTGGGAATATGACTGGCCCATCAGATAGACAGGGGCCCTAAATAGGGAGGAACTGCCTGCTTCTCATGGTTGGTCCATGAAACTATGAGTTATGACAGAATCTATGAAGAGGATTGCACAGAGACAATACCCAGTTAAAGATTCTGCATATGGTGAGTAGAGTTTAGAGATTTGGGTTCCCCCTGTTTTTTAATATTTTACTTTGCAACTTTCAAATCATAAAAAGATTAAAGAACATTCAAATATTTCATTAGATTCTGATTTATCCTTCTGGGAATTCCTTGTGCAAAAAATGGCTGTATGTTTCTCTTTTTTTCTTACAAAGAAGTAGCATATGCATTATTCTTCACAGGGGTTGCCCTGCTAGCAATGGAAGTGAATATCTGTTTCTGTCACCAATGGAGATCGTTATCAGCTTTCAAATTTTTGTTAATCTGATGATGAAAAATGGCATTTCAGTATAGCTTTAATATGTATATCTTTAATTATGAATGAGGTTGAGCCTCTTTTCTTATATTTAAGGGTCATTTTTATATCTTTCTTTTTTAAATTTATTTTTTTAGCTTTAGGTGGACACAATATCTTTATTTTATTTTTATGTGGTGCTGAGGATCGAACCCAGTGTCTCACGCATGCCAGGCGAGCGCGCTACTACTTGAGCCTTATCCCCAGACCCTCATTTATATATCTTTCTGAGACCTATAATTCCCTTTTTTTTCTATCAGGTGTTAATAATTTCTTTATATATCAGGTATATTAATTTTTGTCTGAGATATAAGCTGTATTTTCAAATATTTCCTCTCAGTTTTTCAGCTATATTTTGATTTAAGTGTTTTTGTTTGTTTGTTTTGGCCATGCAAACATCTTTTTAAATATAGCTGAATATATCAATATTTGCTTTTATTGCTTCTGGAAATTAAGTCATAGTCACATAGGCTCTCCCACACCCAAATTATAATGGAATTCGCTCAGATTTTCCTCTAATACTTTTCATTATTTTTTATTTAAGTCTCTGATCTAGTTTGTGTTTGTTATGCTATACAGTATGAAGTATGGCTCCAAGTGGATTGTTTTAAATGTTTATTCAGTTATTGGAAGCACTATTTATCAAAAGACCATCTTATCTCCAGAGATGAGATACCACCTTAATTGTAGTGAAATGCCACCCTAATGTTACTCTAAATTTACATATATATATTTGGATTTATTTCAGGACTTCCTCTTCTGTTCTTTGTTCTCTCATTCATGTGGTAGCACCACATTATTTTAAATATCTAGAGACTGGACAATGTTTTAATACTGAGTAGGCTAACACACCACCCCTCCCCACATTAATCACCTTTTTCTATAATTCCCTAGCCATTTTGCATATTTTAACAATTTATGAACCAAAGAATCAATTTGTTTAGCTTGAAACAAACTCTTTCATATTTGTTAGGAGACTGTATTTCATTTGAGAAACTTGACATCTTTATAATACCGACATGACTCATTCTAGAACGTATGTATTTTTCAGCAGTGTTTTAAAGCTTTCCTCATTGGGGAGGGGAAGTACATTTTTAAGTATTTCATTTTGATGATGTTGCTACTAGAAATCGAGTTTTCTCAGGGGCTGGGGTTGGGGCTCAGCAGTAGAGTGCTCACCTAGCATGTTTGATCCTCAGCACCACATAAAAATAAGTAAATAAAAAATAAAGGTATTGTGTCCAACTACAACTAAAACAAAATATTAAAAAAAAAAAAGAAAAATCTAGTTTTCTGTGATATCTTTTAACTGGTCGTTGTAGGTATATGTGAAGGTTATTGATTTTGTATCTTAATTTTATATCCTGCTCTCCTGGTACATTCCTTTATCACTTGAGTTGGTTCTATCATTGATCCTCTTGGGTTTTCCAGGCACACAATTATGTCTATGCGAAAAAATAATAATTTTCCTTTTTCAATTTATGAGGCTGTAGTTTTTTTTTTTTTTTTTAACTAGGGATTGAACCAGGGGTATTCAACCACAAAGCTACATCCCCAGCTCTTTTTTACATTTTATTTAGAGACAGGGTGTCCCTGAATTGCTTAGGGCCTTATTAAGTTGCTGAGGCTGACTTTGAACTTGCAATTCTCCTGCCTCAGCCTCCCGAGCCATTGGGATGATAGGCCTTTAAGTGTTTTCACATTCTAATATCTTCAATATGATGTTCAGAGTGATGGATATAGCAGGCCCCTTGCCTTGTTCCTTACCAGAAATATCTATGGCTTTCACATTTCAAAAGTTATTAGCTTTAGGACTTAAGTATAAATATTTGATTTTTAAAAATTTTTAATTATAACTTTCACTATCTAAAACACTGGATATTTCTTTAATTTAGCTTCCAGAAAAGCGACCCACATTTCAGCAACTCCTATCTTCCATTGAACCACTTCGGGAAAAAGACAAGCCTTGAAGAAGAAATTAGAAGTGCTGATGAGAATGAATGTAAATATTGGCCAACATTTTCATTCTTTAAAAGGAAATTAGCAGGACTGGGACTGGGGCTCAGTGGTAGAGTGCTTGCCTAGCATGTGTGAGGCACTGGGTTAGATCCTCAGCACCATATAAAATGAATAAATAAAACAAAGATATTATGTCCATCTACAACTAAAAAATATTGAACAGAAGAAAAGTGGCAAGTCCCAATGTAATTTAGCTAGTTCTTAATAGCATTCTGCATGCTGTTTGTCTGTTCATATTATCTAGAAATGAGTAAGATAGGAAATAAAAAATTTCCTTGAAATGTAGGTCAAATTAGTAACTTCCTTTATGCTGCTTTTATTGTAACACTTCCCAGTCTGTAGCAGAAGTACATTTTCATATTGCAATATGGAGAGAGTGTGTAGCATGTGTCAGGATTGGGTAGAATTGAAAAATTATTTGTTAGATACTTGTTCTTTTCTTTCTGTTGTCATTATGATAATTAAATATACTATCAGGTGCAGAAATGTGGACATTTGCCTTTGTAAGTCAGTGGTCTCAAACTTTAGCATGCATGAGAATTAAATTAAATTTTTAAATGGAGAGTTTATTAAACACAGATTTCTAGGAACAGCCCCAGAGATTCTGACAGAGCAGGCCCGAGTGCTGCCTGTAAATCTGTATGTTTTCACAAGCTCCCAGACATTGCTAATGCTGTCATTTGAATTACCCGAGTGCACCTCATTTTGTGGTGGGGCATTGTTTTGTGGTCCATGATTCAATCCAAATGGCACAACTATCATCTGATATCCAGATTAGAATACCGATTGTTTACCTCATATATACATATATAAAACTAAAGTTAAATAATATTATTCAACAATATATTAAACGTGTTTCACATAGAGCAAATTTTAAAAGATGCTAAGGTACAATTTGATATCTTTTTCCTTAACCTTAGCCTTAACCTTGACTATGATCAATCACAACTCAGTGAAACCAGGGTCTTTTTCTAAAATTGATGTTTTTGAATCATTTTACATTTCTTGAATTTGGAGCTCTGGGGCTTTTGGCTTGTTTGACAGCTGAAGTTTCAATTTCAGTCTTGGATCTTAACACAAAGATGCAGAAGTACTATTTTAGCTTCAAGAAGCTAAAATATAAGACTATTATAAAGGGTATTTCTTAATTTTAGAATGTTTATGGGAGTGTCCTACTTTGCAATCTGTTGCTGACTCCATTAGGGTTGTTTTTGTTGTTATTTATTTTTTTTACTTATTTAAGGACCTTTATTTTATTCATTTATTTATATGCAGTGCTGAGAATCAAACCCAGTGCCTTACACATACCAGGTAAGTTCACCACCACTGAGTCACAACCCCAGCTCTAGGTTTTTTTTTTTTTAGTATCTTTTGGAATATTTCATTGTCTTTTCTGTATTATCAAGAAGGGAGAAAGAAATGCTATACGGGACACTATTTAAAAAAGCAAAAAACTCCAATTAAACCCTACTGTTATTTTTCAGATAAAAATTAATACTCTCCCTTAAGAGACATCCTGTTTACTCCCTCACCCACCAGATAGCTCAAATGTTCTCTCTTACTTATTCATTTATTGACATTTAATTAATGATTCCTTTATTTCAACAGAAAATTTACATTTGAGGCTGGGGCTCAGTGGTAGAGTGCTTGCCTAGCATGTGTGAGGCATTGCGCTCAATCCTCAGCACCACATAAAAATAAACAAATAAATTAAAGGCTTGCTGTCTATCAGTGAATAAAAAATTTTTTTAAAAAAAGAAAATTAAGGCCAGGTGCATGCCTGTAATCCCAGTGGCTCAGGAGGTGGAGGCAGGAGGATCACGAGTTCAGCCGCAGCAATTTAGCGAGGTGCTTAGCAACTCAGTGAGACCCTGTCTCTAATAAAATACAAAACAGGGCTGGGGATGTGGCTCAGTGGTTGAGTACCCCTGAGTTCAATCCCCCCCAAAAAGAAAATTAACATTTGATCATCATCTATTTTGAATAGAGGTACACAAATCTCAATATATAATGAAATGTACTTTAAAAATAATCACCATGTCATTTATACATTCATTCATTTATTCTTTTATTTTGTAATTGCTGTGTGCCCCATTCTTTCCTACCCACAGGAAGAGAAGGAACAAGTGACACAATCCTTCCTTCTCTATGAGCCTGCAGACCAGTGGGAACCTGCATCACAGACCGTTAATCTTTGTTTTTGGTGTCCCTCTTGATTGTTTTCCTTTATTGTCCTTATTTTTGTCTATTTGATCTTTTAAAAAATAATCTGCTTTATAACAAAAGTAGTACATGCTTGTTGCAAAATTCAAACAATACAGAATTGTTTACTATGAAAAGAGAATAAAGCTTTGCTTAGAAACCTGACTCCTGAAACCAAGTTAAGCAAGAATTTAAGGTACCACTAGAGGCTTACCAGAAAATAAGTCCAAGAGGAGCAAAACAAACAAACAAACAAACAAACAAAAAAACCCCCAAACCCCCCAAAACAAAAAACAATAAAAACAAAAAAATTTCATATATTTAAAAAATGCATAATGACTTTTAAAATGTGGTTTAATTGTGTTTTGTGGTGATATGCAGCATTCATGGTTATAATTTTAAACAGAAGTCTGCCCACATTCTCAGGGGAGTAAAGAAAAAGGCCCAGACTTCTTTGTTAAGAAACTTTCCCAAAGGGCAAGCCAGAGAGCAACTTCAGAGAAGAGATTTTCTAGATGAAGTCCAAAAGTCTTGCTGAGCTTTTTCTGATCTGCTAAAAGTGAAATGCAAAGTCAAGAGAGTCTAGCAAAATCCATATCATATCTGCTTGAATTAATTAAGAGAAAGATTCTAACATAGTAGACTTATAAATTTGAGTTTCTCAATTTTGATTCTGACTCTGACTCTTAAGTGAATGAGGAGAGATTGGACCTAAGGCCCCATCTTTACTTAATGGGGAAAGCATGGCTTTCAAATGAGGGAGAATAATTCATTGACAGACATCAGGGGAGAGGAAGGTAGCATCTGCCCTTTTTGCTTTGATTACTTTTCTACCAACCCCATCCCATAAAAAATAATTAAATTCCTAGGAAGTAAACACTTAGTGAATGTCTTCTGATTCTATAAACAGATGTTCCTTTTGTCTCTGAACTCCATGATGGCTTGTTCACATTCATAATTTCATTTAACCCTTGCTTCCTTAGTCAGCAAAGTTTGCCTGGAAAAGGCCCTGTGAGATGGGCAAGGTGGTGCATTCCTGTAATCCCAGCAACTCAGGAGGCTGAGGCAGGAGGATCACAAGTTTCAGACCAGCCTCAGTAGTTTAGTGAGGGCTTAGCAATTTAGAGAGATCTTGTCTCAAAAAAAAAAAAATTTTTTTTTAAAGGGCTGAGAATATGGCTCAGTGGTAAAACAGCCCTAGGTCCAATCCTCAGTACCCCTCCTCCCAAAAAATAAATAAGGCTTTGTGAACTGTACCATCTCCGAGTCAACTACCCAACTCTGCTTTGTAGCATGAAAGTAACCCTAGACAATATGAAAATGAATGGATGTAATTGGATTCCAATAAAACTTCATTTATGGACAATGAAATATGAATTGCCTATCATTTTTACGTGTCATGAAATATCATTCTACTCTTCCTGCAGCCATTCAAAAATACAAAAGTCATTCCTACTCTGGCCACAGGAAGGCAGATGATGGGTGGGATTTGGCCCACAGGTCACATTTTGCCAATTCACATCCTAGGCTCAGTGTAAGACCCTCTTTGTAGAGTCTCCATCCTCTTAGAGGATCTATTGCACAGGCAAAGGACCACAAAGCTTCACCTGGGGGACAAAGTGAGAACGGCACTGGTGAAAACCCCAAAATCACGTAGGGAAATGAGCAGGTTTTTCTAAATTCTGAGTTACAGCTGAACATTATGTCGTGTACCCATGGATCCTTTCCATTGGCTGGGGAGGCTCTTTTGAAGGTGTTAGGTGATGAAGTTGGTTCCTGTAGAGGTTATTTTTGCACTGAGTTGAACCAAAACAAGGACTGAGAACTTCATAAAGAGAATGTGGCAATTATAAGGAATGTTTAGATAACAAGAAGCTTGGCAGAAGATTGTCATGATGTGTTAGAGAAGATAGGACATACTCAAGATACAAGGATGCCAATGAAATGGGTATGTAAATAAGGAGATGTTGTTGTAAGTTATCCCAAGCTGTGGGCCCAAGGAATGACGTGAAAGTGAGGTCGAAGGTGATAAAGACAGACATGGGTTTCATGCGAAAATAAAGAGTTCCAGTTTTGCTACCTGAGTATAATTAAAAAGATACTGAAGAGCTTCAAATGACTCGGCCTGATTTAGCTATCTTGAAGCAATTTTATAGAGGATTTTGAAAGTCATTCTCTCCTGACTGGGGGAATTGATCCACCATTACCATTATCACATCAAATTTATTAAGCATGAGTTACTCTGACATTATGCTGGTTTCCATATATATGTGCTCAATGGGTAAACTTTTTATATGTTAATCTATTTAATCTAGTTTTACAATCTTCAAGTAGGTAGTAGATGCTGTGCTCAGAACTGGGCTGGGTACTCTAAGAAATAAAAGTAGTACTAGGTTTGCTTCCTAACCTGACAGTATAATACAAAATATATACATCTCTTTTTGACCTGATTTTACAATTTCTTTGTCCAATAAAGCAATTTGAGAATTAGGATATCTTCCAACACATTTGGGAGGTCAAAGGTCTCGGACAGTAAGATGACAATTTTGTCCACGGAAATGAAAAGCAGATAGAACAGACAGAAATCCCAGCATATAAGAACACATAAGACTACAAGAGTGTATATATCTAATAAGTATTTATTGCGTGTCTGTTTTGTGCTCAGCACTTCTCAGATACAGTGGGTATACAAAAGATTTAAGAGACTGGGTATCCACTTCACAGGATGAACACTCAGATGGAGTTTCCACTCACTCTACAGTTAAAGAACAAAGGAAGCAAGTTTCTATCAGACATTCTCTGGAGGTTCATGGAGGCCCTTGTGCTAGTTTTGTGTTGTCAGGGAGATGTTGATCAAGTAGCTTGAAAGTGAAAAAATAATATTCTCTACTGTTCTCTGACTTCTCCTTTCATTGTTAGACATGCCACCCTGAAGAAGGCATGGTCCATTCTAAACATCACTCTGAGAAAATTACTGCAGTATTTGGATTAAGTTAATGTAAAGAAAATGTGCCATTCTTTATCTTTGGCACTTGGATTAAAGTGAACAGTGTGTAGCATTCTCAATCTGGCAGCCCCAGCAGCTCACAGCATAGATTCCATAAAGGTCCAACACTCTCTATCATGATAGTCTTCTTTTTCCCAACTCTGATTACTCAATAAATGTTTCCATTTCCATCGTCTCTAGCTAGCCTGTGAGGCCAAAGACATACTCTCCCTATTTTACTCTAACATCAGCCTTCCTATCGGAAATCAGAAGAGAAGTCAAGTTTAGAGACAAATATAAATACTGAAAGCAAGGTCAGGGAAGATGCCCACTAATCAATCACGATGTCTTTGGGCACTTGTTCCTGAACAGAGTCATAGTTTTGATATTTAATAACATTTTTATAATCTCATACTTTTGGTACCATGAAATTAACATGCACATACAATAAAATCACCTTAAGAGGAAAAATATTTTTCTAAAATGAAGTCTGAACATCATCATTGTTTTGATATCCTGGATTATTTTCTCCTTTACCCATTTCCATGGAGGATTCGGCGTAAGGATTTTCTTCTCGTTTTGTTTGATTTTTCCTGTTAAATAAAATGGATGTTAGAAGGAAACTTTTCATTGATCAGACTGATGAAGATCAAATGGCTTGATGGTATCATGTCTAAGGACGCGAGCTGGGGGAAAAAAGAAATTTCATAAATTGATGATAAAAATATACACCGATTCAGCCACTATGGAGAGCAATTTGGTGATATTTATCAAAATTAGAAGTGAACACTGACTTTGACCCAGCTCTCCCACTTCTAGGACTCACCTTACACCTATATTGGCACACACAAGAACCTGACTGCATTAAGCCATTGCACCTTTTTATTAAAAGTCTACCAGTAGAGGACTTAGGTAACAAAATTATGATCTATCCATAAAATGGGAAACCACATTGCCCTAAAAAAAAAGATGGAAATCTCTTTGTACAAGTGATATGGAAAGATCACTAAAACATATTGAGTGGGAAATTAAAAATGCAGAATATTATACATAATTTGCATACACTAAAAAAAGTGTATATAGCTATATAACACCAAGAAACTGATCATTTTGGTTAACTTTAAGAGGGGAAACTTAAAGGCAAAGGATGACAAAGATTCTGTATTCTTTTGCATTTTTAACAATTTTAACTAAATATGAAATGTACTACCTAGTCAATGTCTGATTTTTAAAATGAAGCTACTTTGGAGAACTAAAAATTATAGTGAAGAATATTAAGTGAAATAAATTAATATATGCAGAGGTTCAATCAAGAACATGTTCTATTTGAAGTGTGCATAGTTTTGTATAGATGTTATAAAATATTATTAACCTATTTCATAAGCCCAGTGAAACTTATTTCTTAAAGTTAGCAGAAAAAAATCTAGTGTCAAGTAAGACTAGAAATCCAATCTCTAGCGGGGCATGGTGGCACATGCCTGTAATCTCAGCGGCTTGGGAGGCTGAGGCAGGAGGACCACAAGTTCAAAGCCAACCTCAGCAACTGAGCAAAACCCTGTCTCAATATAAAAAAATAAAAAAGGCTGGGGATGTGTCTCAATGGTTAAGTGTCCCTGGGTTCAATCCCTGGTATCAAAAGAAAAAAATAAATAAGTAAGTAAATAAATAAATCAGATCTTTAATGATTTAAATCCTCGGTGAATTTTGATCTTCAACTCAAGAACAAATTTGAGAGTACCCGACCATGAATTAAGATGATATGGAGATGTGGCTTGCTAGGAAGGTGAATGCTAGTAAATTTCTAGAGAATGCCTCAGAATGTTTGGGGGCAAAATTGTCCAATTAAGTAACTGAAATATATAACCTGCCACTTACTGGAAGTTTTCCAATTAGTATTCCCTAAATCTTCCTGTTGGAAGATAGGTCTAGGAAAGCACACTTACCTTCTTCGATCTCTGATCCCAGTGAAGATGAGGATGACAATGCCAACCACTATCAATCCCATCACAACTCCAAAAACAATCAGCCATATGGTGACAGGTGGCTGGTAAGGAGGTCCAAGTGTCGGCTGAATCCCCAGGAATTCCAGGCTGTTATCATCCAGGCGGAACACTCCATTGATGCGGCCCCGGGACATTCTATTTCCCCAAAGTGAAACAGTAAAGGGGACAATTAGGCAAAATAAAATTGTGTTTAGTTATTTACTCTTTATATCATTGTTCCGAAAAGAATTTAATTTGTATATCATAAGAATATACATCTAAAGTAATGAAATTAGGCAATCAGGTCTAATGAAAGACACGAATTTTTTTGACAGTTATGTATCTTTGATATCTGGAACCTAAATTAGATTTACCAACAGCTTCACTGAAAAACTGAATTGCAAATATGGAAATGTGCAAATGGTTGGTATTTGTGCATTTGTGACTGCTGTGCTTTAAAGGCAAAGTGAGCAAATTTGGTAATAATTTCCTGTCTGCCAGAGTATATCTGCTGTGACTTGATATCAAATAATGGAAAAGGATAATTTGATATCTCTCTTGTATAAATAAATCACATCCTACACCCAAGTTTCTACAGTAGAATTTCCAGCATTGAGGAGTAACACAGGAAAGAGACCTTGGCCAATTTCTCTAGCACTGGGATGGGATATGGCTAAATTTTATGGAGAAAAAAGGATAAAGATCTTTTAAAACAAAAACAGTTGAAATGGAGAACATTCTGGATCAAAGACTGAAGTGTCTAGTATCACATCCTCCTATCCTTGGGTATATCCCAGATTAGGAGGTCTGAACACACCAGAGAGAGAAAGAGGCCAAAGCAGAATTAGCCATGTAACCCCTGGCAACTTTGGGGGTTCATATCTCAAGCCATTTTGGAATCAGAAAGTTTGAGGTGTACTGTAGGTGACTGGGACTCCAAGAAGGCTAATCTCTTTTACAAAGATCTCAGCCAATACTTCTACTGGTTTTTGGAGACAAGACTTCTGAAGCAGTGACTGAATCTTTGGGTGTGGTTGAGTCATACACCCCAACCAAGCCAGATTTTCTAGGCATATTCTGCCCAGCTGGTCTTAGATCTGCTTTCAGACAATTAACATCACTGATGCAGCTCAAGAGGGCCACCTACTGAGCTCCCTAGTAGCAGTGGCTATATTAAGCCTTTTTTTGTGTGAAAAGGAGAACCATATATGAGATCAATGCATCCATGACTTCTGCTGTCTTGTGGGAAAGAACTGAGGCAAATAGAGCAAACCATTTCTTCTAAGCCTTCATTGCCTATACTAAGTCCCTCTCTCAATATGGAGGACAACCAATGTCCAAGGAATCCTATGTTTGTCAACTTGTTGCAGGCTTTGGGCAGTCAAATGAATCCTCCGTCAGTGTCCCTCTAGCAACTGATGGTAATACCTGTCCATGTCCTTTCTGCATTTTCCATGCATGCTGGTTAGACTTCCTTCAGCCAACACCTACTTCCCTTTGCCTGTGAGCACTGCTGGGGAATTAATGTCACCCTGAAGCAGTTCCCAGCCCATGACTGGTGAGTGGTGGTGAATGGATGATGACCAAGCTCCCTCAACTCTCTGATGGGACAAGTCAGGTGCACATTCCCCACATTCTCCCAGAGTTGCCCACAAGGAAGTATTAAGCTCTACGTGACAATGGTGGTGATAAAGTGTAATCTACTGTCTTCCCTCCCTTCTCCATAGCCTGTCCACATTTTCTTATCAGTGCTTCTTGAAATGGCCTCCCAAATAAACTACTTATAGTTAAACCCTTGCCTAAGGGCCTGCCTCTGGGGGATTCTAAATCAAGATAATTCTCTTGCCATTAGATTATTTTTCATCTTTACACCATTTCATAATAAATTTTAGTGCATGTTAACTGTACAAAATATAAGTTTCTTTGTGACATTTCATACATGCATATAATATACTTTGATCATGTTTACCCTCCCTATTACCTTCTCTGCTATTGGATTCTTCTAGAATTAAAACCCAAATTCATGGGATGAGGCAAAACATGTGAATGATTCACAACAATGCCTGGCCCTAAATATTAGCTATTGTTGCATTTGTTAACTCCTTCACCCTTTACATGGATTATTTGAAAGCACAATGTTACCTGATAGCCTTTTCAACATCAGTTCTAGGGATAATGTCAGACACATTTTGAGGTGCAGTGACAAAGAAGTTGAAGGAGATTCTTGGTTTCTCATCACTCACCCATACATCCTTCTCTCTGTGGAGAAACAAAAGCAACATCTTCCCTTTGAGCTCAGAGGACACAATAAAAAGAATGACATTCCCCCCTGGTAAAACTAAGTTAGCCAGACACAGAGCAGAGGGAACAATGACAGGAGATAAGATCCAAAAAACTTTACCAATGCTCCAAACACATGAAATCAACTATATAAGTGTTGTAAAGGCAAAGTGAGCAAATTTGGCAATAATAATAATAAATATGTCACATTTTGGCACTCTTTCCTCTATCATAAAAAAAATCCATATTTTTTCAATGATAGAAAGATTTCCAACTGAAAGACTGAAGAGAATCAGCAAGAAATCATTGATAGCTTGGGACTGTGATAAAAAATTTGGTAGGCAAAGATGGCTCAGTATATCAGGGAAAAAAAATGGTGTGTTAATATTCCCTCACCCAACCACACCCAGCAAAAAACATGGTGTTACACTCATGGGTGAAGGGAAAAAGTAAGTTTTAGCATACAATGTGACAAGATTGTGCTGTCATAGCTGCCAGAGTGACACTAGTAAAAACTAAGATGGATCATGTGGCTCTAGTCCTTGAATCAATACCTCTCTCTCTCAGAATAAGAGCCAAAGTCTGTAGAATGGCCTTCAAGGCCCAGAAGAACTTTCTTTACCCATTCCAGCTCTCCATGCCCAAATCTCCTACTAGTAAATACCACTCCATCTATACTGGCCTTTTTGCTGGTCCTTCAACAAGCCAAGGACAGTCCTTCCTCAGAGTCTGTGCCTGCTGTGGCCCCCATCGGATACATTTTCTCCCATGGTACACTCTCTGCCACTTCACATATTTGCTCAAATATTAGTGAAGTTTTTTTTTTTTTCCCTGACCATTTGGGTTAAAATTGAACTGCTCCTCCACTCCCCAGCACTCCCTAATCTTTTTCCTATTGTGTCTTTCTCCCCAGCACTTATTGTGAATAGATAAGGGTCAGGCAATGGGCCTCAATTAAGGTCTTACTCCAAGGCATAGACCACACCCCAGGCTAATCCTCAGAAATATTTACTGCCACCATCAAGGCCTATTTCAAAAGTAAAAGACCTTGAGGCTTTCCAGCAGGAACATTTCTTCCTACCTGAGAGGGGGGTAAACATCCATGGTGGGAGTGAACCCAAATAGGAGTTAGGGAAGGATTAAAACTCAGGCTCAAGGACACAGCCAATAGCCTTGGTGAAGTTTTCAGTGCCCGTTTAACATAGATTTTGATCCATGCTCAAACCATATGAGCCCTTAAGCTAGCACTTCCAACATGGGTTTTATTGCTATCTGGCCTCTTCTGGCATCTCAAGAGTTCTCTCTCTTCTCACTTAAATAAATCCTACTCATTTAGAATTCTCTTCCTTTATTGTCCATGGAAGCAAATTGGCTAAGCAGGGAATGTAAGTCTCTCTCGCAAAACTATCATATTTCACTTACCTTCTCTCTTTCTCTCTCCACCCTCCCCCCACCCCAAACCAGAATATAAGCTCCATGAAAGTGAAAATTTCTTTTTTTTTCTTTCAGTGCTAAGGGTAGGTAAGAGCATTTGGACAAGAGAGCTTAATAAGAACAAGAGCTGCTTAATAAGAACAATGTTCTTGCTATCTACACGTTAAATAAACCACAATTATCCCTAAATAGAGTCACCCAAACTTCAGGATGTCCAAGAAGTTTAAAAGTTAGCAGGAGGTTTTTCTCAATTTCACTTGAAGACTCAAGAGTAAGAGAATTGCTGGTTGGAGAACCTAAGAACTCAGCAAATCAACTCACCCAAAAGGAATGGTCTGGTTTTTGACTTTTGAAAAATACATTCTCATGGCGTAAGCCACAGATGACCGGAACAAGTACATCTCATTGTCATTCCATTGGTACTGCAAAATGAGAAGACAGGCGCTGCTCATTAGGGATCCTAAGACATATTTAAAGCTCAATATTCCTCAGGCATTATTTTTAATATTCCAAGGACTCTTGCTGTTCATTAAGCCAGTGACCTCCAATGTGAGTACACAGCAGCAGCAACTGGATGGTTAAAGCAACCTTAAAGTTTCTGATACAGAAATCTGGAATGAGATCACAAATTTATATCTCTAATTAGCTTCCAGGTGGTGATAATGCTGCTGGCCGTGCAACCAAGCTTTAGGAACAATTGGGATCACGATCCTTTCATTTAGTTTGATTTAAACTGAAATGAGCATCCTGAGGATAAGTTTTAAATGGGATCAAACAAAATTTGTGGGTTTTACTTAAAATGTCTGTATTTTGGAGATAAACTGATTATATATATATATATATATATATATATATATTTTTTTTTTTGGGGGGGGGAAGGTACTGGGGATTGAACCCAGGGTCACTTAACCACTGAGCAACATCCCCAGCCCTTTTTTATATTTTATTTGAGGCAAGGTTTCGCTAAGTTGCTTAGTGCCTCGCTGATTTATTGAGGCTGGCTTTGAATCCGAGATCCTCCTGCCTCAGCCTCTTGAGCTGCTGGGATTACAGGCCTGTGCCACAGTGCCCAGCAGTTCTCACTATTTTTATAGTAAGTTCTCGATATGTATAAAGAGAAAATAAAAAGAAAGAAACTGGGGGCTCAAGGAAAAAAAAATAAAGTGTTGTAAACAGCAAGGTAATCTGTTCTTTTTTTCTGATTCTAAACAAATGGATGGCAAATGCATAGTCTTTGAAGACCTGCTTAAAGAGGAAAAAAAATGTACTGTTTCCTCCAGTAGATGGCAATAGAGATCAGTGAATAGCACAAGACTTGCTTCTCCTTTCCCTTTCAGGCAAAACATGATTTCACAAAAAATAAAAAATAAATAAATAATTATTACATTCATCTCAATTTGTTTTTCATCCATCTTTGAAGAAAAGGGAGTCTCTTTAATAATAATAATGATAGTATTAACATTGTGACAAATAATATTCTGGTTACTATTTCCATATTTAAATTTTTTTAAAAAGTCTGAGTTTTCAAAAATAAGGCCATAGATCTGGTTGATAAACACCAGAAAATTACTTGAACAGGGCAAATATTTTGGCCCTGATGTGTACACGCATTAAGATTATAGTTCTGACCTCATCAAAGCCAACTGTTGCTTAGTGAATTGGTCTCAGAACATTACACCATCAAAACTTCTGAAGACTATTAGCCAATTCCTCACTGCATAGAAAATATGAGCACAAATATCAAGAAAAAAAATGTTTTTTATAAAATTTATTTATTTTATTTTGGTACTAGGGATTGAACCCAGGGGTGCTTAACCACTGAGCCACATCCCCAACCCTATTTTGTATTATATTTTGAGACAGGATCTTACTAAGTTGCTTAGTGCCTGGCTAACTTGCTGAGGCTGGCTTTGAACTTGTGATCCTCCTGCCTCAGCCTCCCAAGCTGCTGGGATTAGAGGTGTGTGCCACCCTGCCTGGCAATTGAAAAGAGTTCTGATCTGTCATGAGTAATTAAAACTTATTAGGCCAAGGGAAAGCTAATAAAGTATGGCAAAGATGAAAAAAAAATCACTCAATGATTATTAAAAAATAGGAACATGAACTCAGAGTTTGGGAAGAAAACTTCTATTTTTGTTATTACTTTCTTAATATTCATTTTTCACTCTTGTTATTTATATTTTGATGTCTAACTTATCTATGAAAATTATACAAAAAGCATTTTTGAGTCTTGGAAAATATTTAACTTTTCATCTTTGGATCTATATGATGAGATGACAATTTTCTGTAGTACCTTGGACTTTTTATCTAGTAACCCCAGGTTAGTTTCTAAACCTGCAAAGCCTTCAGGTTGCCACCCAGGCCTTTGATCCCCATCTGCCTGAGATTTCCTGTCCTCTCTTTCCCAATCAAAGCTGCTACTGTACTTCCTTAGGCTGGCTCACTTAAGACAGGTGTTCAGAAGGCAACAGCTGACTCAACTAATGCACGTGATAAGAGTGAGCTTTGCTGAACTTAGAATCCCACTGAGAGCTTTTAAAATTCTTAATGCCCAACTCTCTTTTGGTTTGGTATGAGTTGTTTTGTTTTTTCACATGGCTTGGCAGGTTTCTTTCTTTTTTTTTTTAATTGGTGCATTACAATTATACATAATAGTGAGATTCCTTAATGCCCAATTCTTGATACCACACCTGGGGCAACTGAAGCAGAATTTCTGGGGATGGAGCCCATATATCATTTTGAAAACTTTCCATGTGGCTCCAATGTGTGGCCGAGCTTGAGAAGCAGTGTTCGAAATCAGAGCTCCCCAGACTTTACTGTGCATACAAATCATCTTGAGGGCTTGTTAAAATGCAGATTCTGGTTAAGTAGGTCTGGGGCTGGGGCCTGAGAGTCTGCATTTTTAACAAGCTTTCAGATTTGAATGCTGTTGGTCCATAGACCACTCTGAATAAAAAGAGAGGCTGTAGATGGACCGATTGATCCAAAACAAACAAAATCCCATAAAGATACTGCTTCTAAAAGAAGACATCCTCTCCAAATATAACCATGTCCTTATCCTCAAATACAAGTAATTGTGAGAAGTTAATGGGAAGGATGGGTATTGATGTTTAAGGATTGGTACAGATATTTTCACGTTGAGCTTCAGAACAACCTCAAGATAATAGGTAATAAGTAGGCACGACCAATTGGTTGTAGGGAAAGTTAAAAAGCTGGAGGCCAGAAGCTGGGGCTTATAGCATTTTTTTTTTCTTTTTGGGTATTAGGAATTGAACCCAGGGGCACTCGACCACTGAGACCCATCCCCAGCCCTATTTTGTATTTTATTAGAGACAGGGTCTACTGAGTTGCTAAACACCTCACCATTGCTGAGGCTGGCTTTAACTTGCAATCCTCCTGTCTCAGCCTCCAGAGCCGCTGGGATTACAAGCATGTGCCACTGGGCCTGGCCAGCATATGTTTAGACCATACTGGATTGGGCTGATTATGTACTATTTAAGGGAAAAAGAGTGTGCTGGAAAATAATGGATGCACTGTCTGGAATACTCACTGCTTCTTCTCCAAGAGCTGATTTTAGGCTTATCCTCACTTTGATGCTTTGGTCAGTATCTGATTAAAAAGAAATTGCAGACTCCTGGTTACAGATTGACCACAATGTGTTTACTTCCTTTCCCTCCCAAGGTCCCACAAAGGAATTTTTTACAAGGTATAAACACACTTTTGGAAAATGAGAAACGATGGGAGATGGCTGTTTTCTCAGAAGACAGGAAGCCACGGCCTGAGGGGTACACAGAGGGAGTCCAGACCCAAAAGAGTCAGAGAATCCCAGGGAAGTTTTGGTTCAGGTACAGCAGAGGGTGGGAAGGGGATACTGGGCTAAAAACAAGGACGATGGACTCAGGGTGTGGTTAAGCTACTGGGGGAACAGTTGATCCTCTTACCCCTATGAGCCTTTGCTCAGACAGTCACCTGGAGCCTGTGCACCAACAAAACAAGAGATAATCCAAGAAAGAAGGCATGGGATTCAGGAAACAGAGGGTTCTCCCCAGGAGAACAACAAAAAGATGACTCATGCGGAAAACTGGGGTCTGAGTGAGATAGGAGGATTCAAGACTCCAGGAGGAAAGTGTCCAGGGGGAGAAACTGAGGCTGAAAAGAATATATATGTTGGAATAACTCGGAGAAAACACACATGATGCAGGTGGTAAATTAGATATACTGAAAAAAAAAAAATCGAGACAAGTACAAATTCCAGAACAAACAAGTCACATGAGAAAGGATACTATATGATATATAACTTGGCTCTGTAGGCAAAATTATAAAAGCACTGATAACTAACTGCTTTACTAAAAATCATGATAAAGCTTCACTGGGAAAATGAGAATGGAAAAGGAGGCAGAAGTGGATGTCTAAAATTGATTAGAAAATAACAATATATACCTAATTAGAATAAATTAATTAATAAAAAAGAAAATAATAATATAATTTAGATATATGAAAGTAACTGCCAGAAACAGGAGGTGATAGTGTTAAAAGTTTTTGTCTTTGAAGAGAAGATTCAAGTGCAGTGGTTTGGAGATTGTTACACTCTTATTTTAAACACGAGACTAATAAAACACTTGAAAGAGTTTGAAGCACTTTTAGAAGCAGGTTCTACACAGAGGGAACATGCATTCAGCTGTGTCACCACCCTCATAAGGCTGGGGCCAAAGGAGACTACGGTGGCAGACAGGGAGCAATGCCAAACATGTCAACTCGGTGTACTCACAAGGGCTCCAGTTGGTGTTCCACCCAACAAAAGAATTCCTGTTCTGGTCTTTCAGCCAGCCAAACAATGGTTCAAAGTAGTTGAGCAGTGGTCTTACGTCCATGTTCCTTGCTCCTACCACATTTTCCAGTGCTAAGGTCCAGGGTTTTGACTTTCCAAGACGCAGCATATTGCTACATGAAAAAAGAGGGGGTTCAGGACCTCTTGAGGGATTCCGTATGTACACATATGTACATCTATGATCTACAATTTCTTTTCTTTGACTTAGCTAAATTTTCTCCCAGCAGATAAGAAAATGATGCATATTAATGGATGGATTCATCCTTCAATCTCTCCTTCCAATTACAACAAATAGAGCTCTATAGTTCTGACATGGAGAGAGAGGAGGTGACCCATCCAGCCATTTCATGGGCTAGGTTCCTGTGTCTGACCACAAATTAAACATTTACTTTGTGAATGAGGAAATTTTGAGGTTCCAAATTTCTTTTTTAGAACAAAGAAATCAAATTCAAAACAGGCACAGAAATGAGCAACATTGGACATTAGGAGAGGGTCAGCAGTTTTTTTTAAAGCTGACTTTTTTGGGAATTTTTTTTAGTTGTTGATAGACATTTATTTATTTATTTATTTATATGTGGTGCTGAGGATCGAGCCTAGTGCCTCACACATGCTAGGAAAGCACTCTACCACTGAGCCACCACCCCAGCCCAGAGAGGTTCAAAATTTTGAGACATTTCTTACAGCAGCTTCTGCCCAGCTTCGGTGGAATTTGAGATGTCACATTTGTGGAGGGGGCCTTCATGTTTAGCTGCTTGACAAAGGGCTTCTTGAAACTGGAATTGATAAATGGTCCTTGTGTAATATCTGTGCAAGAGATAAAGAAACAAACAGAAAAGTCCGTCCCATGTTTAATTACTGTGGTACAGTCATAGATTTGGGGCATATGTGTAAATTCTGGGGCCCAAGTAACTAAAGAGATAGTAGTCAAACTTCTTTCTCTAGGAAACCTAAACATGAATTCTATAGATTCATCATAATCTACCTGCATTTTTATGTGTTAGTTGATAAACAAGACAGTAATGATTATATCAAAACAAGCCCCACTATTAGGTTTAACTATAATGCACTAATAAAAATATTCATAAAAAACAAGGTGATATCATTATTCTGTTAATTGTTTGCTCACATTGGTACTGTTTTACAAATTTGTAGTCCTTTCATATAAATGATGCCAATCTACAAATACAGAAACTGAGGTCCAGCCAATCTAAGATCTAGGGATAATAGGTGAAGAACATATGATTTAGACTTCAAGTTTAAAATGCTCTTTCAATACATGGTGAACTCTGCTGGTAAAAAGACGACAAACAAAAATACTTTTCGTATTTCCCAATAGTATTGTTGATTCCTTGGTGACGGGAAAATGATCTCCCACAAGTTTTATTTAAGCCAACAAATCATGTTGGATTCAACTGCATTGAAATTGATCATGTATATTGAGTTTAAGGGTGGGAGGTGGAGAAGGAAAAATCATAATTATCACTTCATTGAGCCCTATGTATCTGTCATAGCATGGCTATCCACAAATTCTCGAAGTTAGACAGAAGAAAATTGTCATTTACCGGATGAATGAGAAATCATTAGAAACATGGTATAGAGCTGCGGGGTCACAGTATGTTTCGTCATGAGGCACAGGCTCCATCACCCCAACTATCTCTCGCCTTTGGGAAGAAAAGGAAAAGATACATTAGTTGTAGATCAACCAACGTGAGAAGGTAGAGTTGGGCACAACTTCAGCAGTTTCAGTAGACAATAGCATTGATCATTGAAATTGGTTGTCAGGTGAAATGAAAACAGAATAATATATCAGAAAAAGTAAAGTTCCTTGAGTTGTTCTCTCTCATTGCTTTAATTTAACCAAAATATCCATTGGAAAATAGCTGTATCTTCAAAACACTAATTTAAGAAAATTCATAAAGTGCTTTGTGTGTCCAAAAACATAGTGAAAGCCCTAGAAGTTCCTCTCAGGCACCATAGTTTATGTGCCTTTGGCAGATCTTCATTTTATAAAATTGAAATCTTAGGTTTTTTTCCTTAAGTGTAATTCTACTGGACCTTCTTCTGTAAGCAGCCCTGATATCACCCACCTTCTAACACAATTGATCCTTCAATCTCCCTTAGTCTCCTCTAGCTGTGTCTCCTTGCCATTTCTCTCTCTCTGTCATAGTTATTAACATACAACTCCTTGACCTGGAGAGTTGGACACTTTGAGGATGGGGGCTGTGCCTTGGTCATCTTTACAGTTCTAGTGCCAAACATGGTGCCTAACTCTAAGGGAAAACTTCATTCCTATTTGTTGAATGACTAAAGGAATCACTAAATTACTTTAAAGGTTGGATTCCATGTACCTTTAAAATAAACTGAGTCATTGCCAGGCACAGTGGTGGATGCTGGTAAACCCAGCAGTTTAGGAGGCTGAGGTGGGAGAATCACAAGTTCGAGGCCAGCCTCAGCAATTTAGTGAGGCTCCAAGCAACTTAGAGAAACCCTGCCTCAAAATAAGAATAAAAAAGACTGGGGATGTAGCTCAATGGTAAAGCACCCGTGGGTTAAATCCTCAGTATTAAAAAAATAACAAATAACTAAGGGATCAAAAAATCAGTCCAATTAGAAAAAAAAAGATAGATAAACTATATATTTGGCATTGTTTCAAAAGGGATACATTTGTCCTTTATGACTGTGGGGTCCTTATGGCCAGCTTCAGTCATATTCAAACACTAGAAACACAGTTATATAGGTGCAGCCTCCTTCTTCCTAAGGAAGATTTATGTTAACATAGAAAAGCTTAAAGGAAGAATGGTACTAATTTAAACTTGTGCATGGGGGACTGAATGTCACATATAAGATCTTCACTTCAAAAAGGAAAAACAAGAATTAATTGACAGGGCTCTGACTACTATGCAACAGTAAAAAGATTTCTGTTTCTCTCATAATTGTTTCATAGCTGCATGTGCCTGACACAGTGCAGGGTATCTGGGATACAGTACCAGGTTTTCTCAAGCTTGAACTTCTCTCCACACACACCCGGCTAACTCCCACACCTTTCTCACGACTCAACATGGATGTCTCTCTTCATCTGGCCCCCCTAGGGCTTTAGATCTCCTCTTAAATACTCATGGATCCCTGTACCTTTCCTTCACACAATCACACAGTGGTTTTATCTTGCATGTTTGTACCTTAGACCAAAAGTTTGGAGCAGGGGATCAAGGACCACATTTGAAATGATTAGCAGTAGATCTCCATCCAGTGCTTTGCTCAAAATGTGAAGTCACCATTTTTATTTAAAAGAATGAGATGGGTGTGGTGGCCCATGCCTGAAATCCCATCAGCTTGGAAGGCTGAGGCAGGAGGATTGTGAGTTCAGGGTCAGCCTCAGTAACTCAGTGAGGCACTAAGCAACTCAGCAAGACCCTGTCTCTAAATAAAAATATAAAAATGGGCTGGGGGTGTGGCTTAGTGGTTGAGCACCCCTAGGTTCAATCTCCAATACCAAAAATAAATAAATAAAATAAAAATAAAAGAATGGACACAGAATACATAAAAGTGAATAGATTGATCATTTCCTAAATGGTATCACAATTTAAAATGTGATCCAAATTTTTTTTTTGTATATTTAAGAATATACACCATGAAGTAGTGTCACCTGACCCAAGATATGGGGCAGAGCCAAGGAGATTTTATCTGAGGAGATGGCACCCAAATGGAGACTGAAAAATCTTAAAAGAAGGCAGTTAACATGTGTGTGTGTGTGTGTGTGTGTGTGAGTGTGTGTGTGTGTGTGTGTGAGAGAGAGAGAGAGAGAGAGAGAGAGAGAGAGAGAGAGAATACATACACGCATGCGTAGTATGATGGCATTCCTCTAACCTGAATACAGTTTTCTCTTTTTCACATATTTAACTCTAATCACCAGCTTTCAAGATTCACCTTTTCAAATTCTAGTGGTTTTGACTATAAAACATTGAGAACCCTGATCCTAGTTCTTTTAGATTGGATTCTCTCAGAAACAGACTCTTTAGATAAGGTCCTGGGAGGTGATCCCTGGAAACATCAGCAAAGGAGGGAGGAAGTGAGACAGGGAAATGAAAGCAACCCAAAAAAGATGTTACTGAGTAAGTTATGACTGTAAGTAATTGTAACTTATTCCCTCTGAAGAATCCTAGGATTCATTATAGAGTACTCAGCACAAAGGCTAGTCCCACCTGAGGGCAGGGCAGCTGGGGTATTTATCCATCAACTCCCATAAGGTATTGGTTGAGGGCTGTTGGGGATGGCATTAGTTCCTTAGCCCCTCTTGCCCTTTGTGGGTTCTGATGGCTTAAGGAAGCTCCAAAGACAATGAAATACAGATACCAGTTGTGTGTGTGTGTGTGTGTGTGTGTGTGTGTGTGTGTGTGTGTGTATGTACAAGCCAGTCAAACGCTTTAAAATAAACAACAAACTCATGAGATAACCTTTTACTGACGGTGTACTCATTAACTTACTTCATCTCCCACCACTTTTTCATCCACTGATCTTTGGGAATTTCACCCTTAAAGACCATCCACCTCCACTTCTCCAACATGTAAGTAAAAGGTAGAGTTCCAACAATCGTTAGTGCTTGTTTGAGCAGGAAGTTTATTTCTGTTTCTGAAAGTAAATGGAAAAGGGCAAATAGTGAGATGAAGATGACAGTGGCTGTTTTGTGTTAAACAAAACAAAACAACTCTCCTAATTTCAAGATACGAGGCTTCAAAATAGATTTACTAGAAGGATGATTACATGAAGAATATTAATGGTGGACATAATAATATATGTATATATTCATTTTCTCAGCTAAGGGATTTGTAGCAGGGTGAAGCCCTGGAACAAAACAGGTACATAAAAATCCACATGTTAGCTGGGTGCAGTGGCGCATGCCTGTAATCCCAGCAGCTTGGAAGGCTAAGGCAGGAGGATTGCGAGTTCAAAGCCAGTCTTAGCAACAGTGAGGCGCTAAGCAACTCAGTGAGACCCTGTCTCTAAATAAAATACAAAATAGGGCTGGGGATGTGGCTTAGTGGTCGAGTGCCCCTCAGTTCAATCCCCAGTACCCTTCCACCCAAAAAAAATCCACATGTTAATCCTAATCCTTATTTTTTTTATTAGTTTCAGTCACCTTCCTTAAATACTCCTTATCATAGATAATTAGGGCTATTTCATCTACCTTCTCAGGCATACTATTTGTTCTTGAAAGCTCCATGAAGACAGTGACTGTTAATGTCTCATTCTACACTGTATTCCTTGTCCAGTGTCTGCTACATAATGCCCTCTTTGAGTCCGTGGTAAATAAGCAAACACTAAACATGTGGTGAAAAGCTAGTAAATCAGGAATGGGGGGAATAGCATGATGTTGCACAATAGATTGACTATAGATAACAATGTACTGTACAATTCAAAAGCTAGAAGAGGGCTGGGGTTAGCTCTGTGGTAGAGCACTTGCCTGACCGGCATGAGGCCCCAGCACTGAAAAAAAAAAAAAGGCTAGAAGAAAGGATTTTTGAAAGTTTCCATTATAAAGAAATGAAAACTGTTTGAGAACATAGATATGTTTACTCTAATTTAAACATCAAATGATGCCTATGTGTATTGGAACATCATAGGTTACCCCATTAATATGTATAATTTTTATATTAAAATAAATGTAATAAAAATATACATAAATAAATAAATAGAGCCCTCCTAGAGGGCACCATCCACTGGATATACAAAAAATGCAATGTAATCTAAATATTCTGATTCTTCCTTACCAAGAATTTAAAATGCTTTTACAAGGAGAGAAGGGATGAATGAATTTATTTAGTATCATTCATAAATCAAGGTCAGAGCTAAGAAAAGGAGCAAGAGTTTTTTAAACCAGTAATTTAACGATGTCTGACATTATCTTAAGAAACATAGTGATACCATCATTTTTGCCTACCTTCAAGGAATATTATATTTGTGTGTTCATTGACTTAAGCAAATGATATTTTAAAATTGGGAATCAGGCGTAGTTGCCATGAACTTTCTTTCCTTTGTTGCTTTCTTTATTGGATGCTGACACAACTGTTCTACATAATACTCCACTGGGTTTTTCATGATGACAATTTTATACTGGCCTACTCCCAGGTCCTCATGAGATCACCAAGGACCTGGAGGCAGAGATCAAGGCAAAGTATATTGCCCACACAAGGATGGAGCTCATGACCTTGACCTCATTGACCAAATATTCTAGCCAGCAGAGCTAATTGTTGTGACATAAACTGTTAAAATTCATGGAGGAAAATACACGGAAGAGGAGTAGGTAATAGGCTCTTATTGTCTTTCTTTTACAAGGAAGAATCAAGAGCCATGGCGTCGTCTCTAAAGAATCTGGATCTCCTGAGTATGTGTTGTGTTCAGTCATGTCCAAGACATTCAAAGAGAAACTGACAGCCTCAGGTCAAGGGGGCTGCCTCAGGCAAACATGTTGACAGATAACCTGGGTCTGACTCTTTAAGCATCAGATGTTGCAGGCAAAAGTATGCTTCCACTGGATGAACAAAATGTTTCAGGCCCTTCAAATTTTGATTCCATCCCCTTTCCTTTAAGAACTCTCAAATTTCAAGCTATACTTTGCATACTATTATGGGAAATGCTTCATATTAGGGGTCTGGTTCTGGATCTGCCACTACATTGCTTTTTAAAAAATAGTTTTTTAGTTATAGATGGACACAATACCTTTATCCATTTATTTATTTTAGTTTGTATGTGGTGCTGAGAGTTGAACCCAGTGCCTCACACATGCGAGGCAAGCACTCTACCACTGAGCCACAATCCCAGTCCACTGCATTGCCTTTTGACCTTGAGGTATTTTCCCTTTCATTTCTTCAGTTTCCTCCTCTGTAAAATAATTTTTAGAATCTATTCCAGTGCTAACATTGTGAGAAGTTTCTACCTAGAATCACAGCATATATTCAGAAGCCTGATACTAATTAGCTGGATGGCCTGGGACAAGCCATTTCTTAATTCTGTGAGACTCTTTCAGCATCTTTAAAAAAACTCACTGAGGGACTGGGATTGTGGCTCAGTTGGTAGAGTGTTTGCCTAGCATGTGTGAGGAACTGGGTTTGATTCTCAGCACCACACATAAACAAATAATAAAGGTCAATCAACAACTAAAAAAAAATTTTAAAAACTCACTGAGTTTCTAGTAGATATTTTTAGGGTTATAAGATCATTCAATCAGTTACCTCTCTTATTCCTTGTCCAAAAATACAAAACCACATATTGGCATGTTCTGATATATACTTCAAAAAAAAATTTTTTTTTTTACCAGTAGCGATTCCCAGTTACCCACAAATACACTTTATGTGGCAAAAGCAAATATTTCCTAGACATGTTAATACTTTTGTGCACATCACACTAATGAGCTCCCAAAACAAACAATGAAAAAAAAAACACACACCACTGTCTTCACGAAAATCAGATGGCAAAAGACCAATGGACTTCAGATGCTTAGGTGTACTTGCAGACAGTGACATGATTTCCCCAACAGCTTCATGGAACCCTTCATTAGCTCCATTTCTTAGCAGGTAAGGTTGCATGGCATATGCCATGTCATACTGGATGTGTCCCATCTCATGATGAGCTGTCAGGAAGTTGTCCATTGTCACTTTTGTGCACATCTTGATTCTGTATAAAAATACGCAAGAGTAAAATGAATGTCACTGAATTTCATTTAATCATTATAGTAGAGTTGTATGAAGTCTTGGTAGCATGAATTCTGTACAAGATTTATTCACCATTGAATTTTGTGTATGTATCTCTTATGTCCTTATATACTAGTTGCTCAATATGAAGTGATGGGTGGGGCTCACTCCTGTTCTCCCACTCACATACTGATAAGAACAGAGACATCCAGAGCCCTTCGCTGTCAAAACTTTGAGGAAAATACTCTATAAGTTATCAATAGACATGACCTTGGGCATAACAGTGAATGAATATAGCATAGTCTACTAGAAGCACCAAGGAAGGCATAACTAAGAATATGATGAGCAATTTTTACCTCAATCAATGTGCAGGAGCTTGCCAAGTAGATGGCACAGAGACTGATATTCCTGGATGAGTTCAGTGAAAATGATATTCAGGATACTACAAGCCTTTCACTATAGCCAGTATAGATAGAGAAGCAGTAGAAAGGGTTGGAAATTGAGACTTGAGGATCATTAATATGTAACTCATGGAGAGGATATGATTGATGGCTCATACATATACAGCAAGAATAGAACGGAAAGAAGAGCCAAAGCCTTGGGAGAAGCCTCAGGGAAGATGGAGAAAGTGTAATTAGAGAGGCCAAAGGAGTCTGGAATAGGATGACAGTGCAGAGGTCAATTAAAAATATGCCACTGGCTGGGTGTGGTGTTGCATGCCTGCAATCCCAGGGGTTCTGGAAGCTGAGGCAGGAGGATCATAGTTCAAAAGCCAGCGTCAGCAACTTAGTGAGGAACTAAGCAACTTAGCAAACCCTGTCTCCAAATAAAATATTTTAAAAGGGCTGAGGATGTGCTTCTGTGGTTAAGAGCCCCTGAGTTCAATCCCAGGTGCCCTCTCTTCAAAATGACATTGGACTCACTAATGTCTTACTCAGATTTTAAAAGTTTACTATAATGATTTTCTCCACGACTTCTCATTCCTCCTACTCTTGAGATGACTGTATCAGTCCGTACCTGCCAGGCACTGGTTCTCAACTTGAGTGTGTTTGAGAATCTCTTGAAGATTTGTTTAAACTCAAAGTACTAAGCCCCACCCTGGAGTTTCTTCAGTAATTCCAGGATACAGCCTGAGAATTTGCATTTCTAGCACATTCCCAAGTGAAGCAGATACTGCTAGTCCAGGGAACATACTTTGAGAACCATCAGGCTAGGTTATTCTATGGTAACAGGAACAAACAAAACTAAAACAATAAAAAATAAAAGACAACTGGTAAGTACTGTAATGGTGCTGTGATCCCATGAAATAAGGACTGCATTTGGCAATTAGGTTGTGGTTCTTTTCAACTTGACAAAAGCATTTTCATTCAGGTGGGTGTAGGGGTCATATTTCAGTAGATTTCTAAATTAATTTTCCAACTACTCTGATCATGTCACACTACCCCCATAAATACCCTTTAAGGACTCTTCAATACTCAAGAATTAACTTGGCCTCCTTTATACACCCAATATTATTCCAATCTGCTGTTTTGACTTGTTTTAACAATTATAATAGCTCTTATATATTTATTGTCTATTGTAGGTAAGATTCTGTGCTAGGAAACTTACATGTATTTTCTCACGTTTAAGCCTCCCTCTAGTATTGGGGTTGGTATTCCATAGCCTGCTGCCTGTTTTTATAAATCAAATTTAACTGGAACTCAGTCATGACCATTTGTTTATGGATAGCCTGTGGCTGCTTTCATGCCACAAAGGCAGAGTTGAGTAGTTACAATAGAGACTTTCAAAGCCCACATTCTTTACTATCTGGCCCTCTTCAGGAAAGGACTGCCAGTTCCTACTCCAGTGAGCACTGGTAGGCCTGGGCCCTTCCCAGGTCTGCTCTACTAGATAGATTACCTTCCCCCAGCTGTCTGAGTCAGTGTTAATAAGGGCCCAAAATGGCTTTCTTCTTCACTGGTTTGGCTAAATGAGAGGTGCTTCAACCAGGAGGTTATGTCTTTCCATACTTGGGGCAGACTACAGCCAAAGACTGACTAATAGAGGGTACGAGTGGCCAGCTTCCTTGTCTTCAGGCATGACCAATGTTAGTTCAAATTAAGCTCTGAAGAGGTTCATAGGATCAGGCTGAGGCCAAGACTCCACCACAGATTTTATTCTTTCTTCCTTCCTTCCCCTGTTCCAGCCTGTTTCCCTTGCTCCCCTTTGCCTGGGTGCACTTGTATAAGAATCTTCATTGCAAGCTGGTAAACCCAGCCTAAGACACTCACAACCAGCAAACTTGGATTACTATTCTGCTTCATAGATAAAGAGATTGAAATCTAAGAAGGTTAAATTCCTTGTCCAAGGTTACCTAGTCATTAAGTGACACACCTAGGATTCCAAAGCCTGTGCTCATCCTGCCACATCACAGAGACTCCCCTTCACATATTTGTTATTCTTGCCTAACTTGTTGACCCTGGTATACACTCCAGGTCCTGCCTCTCTGCATCTAATCCTGCTGATCTCCTCCCAATTGTCCAAAGCCTTCTTGCTTTCCAGACCCAATTCCAATGCTGCCCACAAAGCCCTCTTTGATCTTCTGTCCTATTCCAGGTGTGGCAAGTTCTTTCCCAGTTCCCCCATAAAGCATTCCCTCTGTCCCTCTAAGGACACGTAGCACTTTCTCCTTTTTATCCTAGCTTGTTATTCACTCATCCTATTTCGAAAGCAAAACACAGAGGGAAAGATCAATATCTGAGTGACATCTCCTCTCCATAAATCTCAGCACAAAACTTCTCTAATGGGGGCACCACCATCCTCATGACCATGCAACTCTAATAGGGGTATAATATTTCAAATGAGGCAGATCATCTAAAGTTCAAGTTAGCACCTGCTGGTAATCTTCAAAACCCAGATGTGCTCTCATGGACTCCCGATCTTAGTTCAAAGAGTTATTTAAAAGTATTTTCTGTGCTCAGAAAAGCAAAGAAGGAATCTCTGCCTTCATCATTTTCCATTTAGTATCTGGGCTATAAGTATTAATCCAACTACCTGAAGTCACCCTTCTGTAGATCCCAAGCTGTAGGGTGGCAGACCACTTTCCGGCCGTCTGTTGGCTCAGTTAACATGGAGTTTTCCCAGAATCCTTGAGTCATATTAGGAAGGCCAACAGATACAAAGAACTTCTCAGCCTCTTTGAAGATCCTCACCGCATTCCAGTTCTAAGGGGAAAAAAAGAACAGTATTTAATTTCAGCATTAAAAGAACAGCATCCTTTCTGTTAGATATGTACATTGACAATAATCTTTCTAAAAGGAAGTTTGGCAACATGTATGAACAGCTTCTAGAATGGCTATACCCTGTTTCAGTAATTATGTCTCTCGAGAACTAACTTTGGAAATTAGATCAAAGAATTTACATTGCACTTATTTTTGCTGGGGTGGGTACTAGGGATTGATCTCAGGGGCATTGGATTACTGAGCCACATACCTAACCCTTATTTTGAAGACAGGGCTCACTGAGTTGCTTAGTTGCTTAGCTTTTGCTGAGGCTAGCTTTGAACTTGCAATCCTCCTGCCTCAGCCTCCCCAGCTGCTGGGATTAAAGGCATGTGCCATCACGCTCAGCTGAGTGTATTTTTAATAGGGAAAAAAGTGGAAACAATCATCAAAATGTTTTGGAACTGCAGAGAGAGAGCCACAGACATCTGCCACAAAGCAAACTCTTCTTGAGATTAATGTCCCAGGAGATGACCAAGTCTTAGCTTAGGAGATAAGGCCCACATCAGGCAGGCTAAGTGGGTAACTGACAACCAGCTCATAAATCATTTTAATAACACAGATAACTTCCTCCAATCTTAAACACACCGTCAAGTTTAGTTTTTCTCCTATATCAAACCTGGGAATAAGAAACAGAATATAAGATTCTGGGTTTTTTTTTAAATTCACATTTAAAGGCTTAGTATCAGGAAATTGATGAGTATGTCATTCTTTTAAAATTTGAATTAATTCTAACTGATACATAAAAATTACATATTTCTGGGGTTTTATGATGTTTCAATACAAGTATACATTGTATAATGTTCAAATAAAGTTAAATGTATCTGTCTCCTTGAACATCATTTATTTATAGTGAAAATATTAAGAAGTCCTTTCCTCTAGCTTTAAAAAATATACAGTACATTATCTTATTTATACTCACTCTACTGTGCTATTGCACGCCAGAACTTCTTACTCCTACCTAACTCTAACTTAGTTCCCAATACTCTCTCTGGCCTCTGCAAACTACCATTCTACTCTCATACCTGTCTTTCTGTGCCTGGCTTATTTCACTTAACATAATGATCTTCAATTCCATCCATCTTGTTGCAAGTGATAGGAATTCGTTTTTTATGGCTATGTAAGTACTCCACTGTGTATATATACCACATTTTCTTTATCCATCCATCACTTCATAGATATTTAAGTTGCTTCCATTTCTGAGTTCATGAGAATAGTGCTTCAATAACCCAGGGAATAAAGATGTCTCTGACTTCATTTCTTTTTAACATACCCCCAGTAGTGGGATTGCTGGATCATATTTAATTTTTTGAGGAAATGTATTATTTTCCATAATGACTCTACTAATTTGCATTCCCAATAATAGTGTACAAGGGTTCCCTTTGTTTCACATCTTTTCTAGCACTTGTTAGTTTTTTCGATCTTAACCATTATTGTTACAGAAAGGCAATATCTCATTGTGTTTTTTAAAAAAGTTTTTTAGTTGTCAATGGACCTTTAATATTTATTTATTTATATGCGGTGCTGAGAATCAAACTCAGTGTCTCACACATACTAGGCAAGTACTCTACCACTGAGCCACAACCCCAGCCCCTCACTGTGGTTTTGATTTGCATTTTTTCCTGATGATTAGTGATATTGAGCTTTTTTTTTCAAATACCGTTGACCATTTAAATGTCTTCTTTTTTATTCTTCTTTTGTGTATATCAATTATATAAATTGGTGGGGTTTATTGTGGTATAGACACATACACATTAAAATACAACTGGAGTCAGAATGGCAGCTATCAAGAATACAAACAACAATAAGTGTTGACGAGGATGTTGGGGGAAAGACACACTCATACATTGCTGGTGGGACTGCAAATTGGTGTAACCACTCTGAAAAGCAGTATGGAGATTCCTTGGAAAACTTAGAATGGAACCACCATTTTGACCCAGCTATCCCACTCCTTGGTCTATACTCAAAGGACTTAAAAACAGCATACTATAGGGACACAGCCACATCAATGTTTATAACAGCACGATTTACAATAGCTGAGCTGTGGAACCAAACCAGATGCCCTTCAGTAGATGAATGGATAAAGAAAATGTGATATAAATACACACAATGGAATATTACTCAGCATTAAAAGAGAATAAAATCATGGCATTTGCAGGTAAATGGATGGAGTTGGAGAATATAATGCTAAGTGAAGCAAGCCAATACCCAAATAACAAAGGCTGAATGCTCTCTTTGATAAGAGGATGCTGACTCATAATGGTGATGGTAGGAAACATAGGTGGAATGGAGGAACTTTAGATAGGGCAAAGGGGAGGAAGGGGAAAGGAAGAGGAATGAGGATAGGAAAGACAGTGGAATGAATTAGACATCATTACCCTAAGTACATGTATGAAGACACAAATGGTGTGACTCTACTTTGTGTACAATCAGTGACTTGAAAAACTGAGCTTTATATGTGCAATATGAAATGAATTGCATTCTGCAATCACATGTAACAAATTAAAATAAATAAATTTTTAGAAACCCCACAATTGGATCATGTTATATATGCTCAATATCTTTAGCCATCAGGGAAATGCAAATCAAAACTACATTGATATTCCGTTTCACTCTAGTCAGAATGGCCATTAACAAAATACATAAAAAAATAAGTAACAAGTGCTGGAGATAATATGAAAAAAAGGAGCCCTATTCACCATGGGTAGAAATGTAAATTAGTACACTCACTCCCTTCCATATGGAAGCTCCTTCAAAAAATAAAAGTAGAACTATCATATGATCCAACTATACCACTCCTAGATATATATCTGAAGGAAATGAAGTTAGCTTATAGAAGAGATTCCTGAATGCCCATAGTTATTGGGGCACTATTTACAACAGCCAACTTATGGAATCAGCCTAGGTGCACACCAACAGGTGAATGGATAAAGAAAACATGGTATGTAACACAATGGCTTATGATTCAGCCATAAAGAAGAATGAAATCATGTCATTTCCAGGAAAATGGGTAGAAATGGAGATCATTATGTTAAGAAAAAAAGCCAGACTTAGGAAGACAAGTACCACTTGTTTTCTCTCATATCCCATATTTTCTCTCATATATGCAAACTAAGGAAAAAAGATGACCTGAAAGTAGAAGAGCGACTATTGGGGAATAGGTAGAGGATCAGGGAGAGAAGGGATGGGGGAAAGCAAGAGAAGTCACAGGGAGGGTAGACATAATCAAGGCATAGTATATGAATATATGGAAATGTCACAGAGAAACCCATTAATGTGTAAAATTAATGTATGCTAATAACAAAAAGGATGAGTTAAAGGATTGTTGTAATATTTTTAAATATGCAAAAATCTTCTAATTATATTCTTGGGCTTTTTATTATTCATAGAGATGATTGATTACTTAGCAATGACTAACTTTGGGATGAGTGATATCAGGCAGTTGGTAATTTGTACATCTTACTGCTTAGAAGAAAACTCAAGTCATCTTCATTTTGCATACCTCTCAACAAGGTCAATACCATATCTGTAATTTAAGCTACTTGAGGTCACTGACATTATGAACAACTTTTCCATGAAAATATAGATACATAATAAAATAAGTTTAAACTAGTTTCAATTTTTGAGTTATAAAATTTCACATACAAAAGATAAGAACAGAAAGGATGGCATAAAAAAATGAAGTAGAGAATTTAGATCAAAGGAAATGAAGTTAAAGCCTCTTCTTCTTACCTGGTTTATCATTGCATCAGTAACATCTATATTTGGTTTCTCTGGAAAGGGAACTGTCAAAGAGTATAGATTTGTCCAAAATCTACCCCACATATCACCTGTTGTTAAAAAAGAATACATTAATATATGACGACAGCAGAAATATAGACCTGATTTTACATAGTGCATGAGGTTAGATTTGTAAGTAAGCCATATATTATATTAGTTCTAAACAATATAGTTTCTGTGCTTCCCTTTCACTACCAGTTTTTCACTTTTTTCTTTCTCTATTTTAGACTTGCATCATTTCCTTCTTTTACCTCCTCTAAAAGACTAAAATGGCAGGAGACTATGTGGTCAGGCAAAACTTGTTAGGGAATCATCCCAGTTTCCCCTATCTGAAACTATTACTCAAATGCATAATTTATTAAATATATGGAACATTATAGTTACTATAGATTAGAAAGAGATTTTTATAATCTATCATTCATGGGACAAAATACTACAAATTAAACTATCAATAATGCCTGGTATTGGATTAAAATAAGATCATATAAGATCACTATTCAAAAACTTCTTAAGCAGTAACCAAATTTCATTTTTATTACTATAGTGGGTGACTTTTCAAGCTTCCCCAACAATGTGAGGCTGGATTCCAAGGTCAGAGACACTAAAAGGGGAAATGGATCCAGAAAAATGTCATCAATCTAACAGCAAGCAGAATCCTGCCACCAAAGATATGGGGCAACACAACTACATGAAGAGTACTCCAGTGGATTCATCTTTATTTTTATTTTATTTTTAAAAAGAAATTAGTAGAGATAAAAGTTTTAAAGGAAAACTTATTCACCATAGAAATATACATGTGATATCATGATGAATCACATTTCACAGTAAAAGACCCAATAAGCATTATGGGATGGCTTCTAAAACACAAATAAGATTGTCAGTTAAACTGATAGAGTATCTAGAATAAAGATAGTCCTCATACTAATTTTTTCTACATCAGTAAGATCTGATATGAAGTAACTGTTTGATTCTGAGCATGCCAATTGAAGAGGGGGATGTACAAAATATAGCTCATCCAAAGGAAGATGAATATAGAAGTGGAATTTTAAGGAATGGTTGAAAATTTGTGTAGGATATTTAACTTGAAAAAAAGAAAACAGTATATAATTGACGATAACATGACAGCCATTAAAATGTATTGAATACATACTCTTGTGTCAGGTACTATGCTGTGTCTTATATGGTGGTTGTTTACATCTATCTGGAAGGTCATCTTGTAAAACAAGAATTGACATATTCTGGGTAAACTCATAGCATGGAAATAGTAATGATTAACGGAAGGCATTAGAGAACTGTTGATACAATTCCATATAAGTTAGAACTTTCTTATAACTGGTGCCATGTAGCAATAAGTTATTCTACTTTGGAAGGCAGAAAGAGCCCCATCACACCAGATGAATTTAATCAAATATTAAATTACTGAATAATGATTGTCAAGAACATTGTAGAAAAGATTTCTGTATTACTTTAGGGTTAAAATCTCCATGGGTCCTTTGTCCATATTCTCTTCTGCTATGAGATTTCACTGTGGAGGAAAATTAACTTCTAGAAACTTGACTTGACTATAGAAGGGATTTTATGTAGGCCTGGCATGAAATTTTCAAATATTTCTATCTTATTCGGCCTTGGCTCCTTGGGGTGGAGAAGAGGATGGTCACTCTTCTTCATTCATTACTCATATGAGTCCAAACCCAGTACTTTGCATCAAGACTAAATGGTGTTATCTGGAATGAACTCATGAAGCTTTCCAGGACATACCTTAATTGTAGAAAGCCTTTCTCTCACCCCTCCCATTTCTAGCCTAACAAGATTTTCTTTCTCTGACAATATAATACAAAAATCCCAAAGTTCACCTAAAAGCTAATTCAACCAAATTGAATACTGAAAATTATTTTACTCATTTCATTTTTTAATTTTTTAAAAAGAATTATTTTTAAAATTGTAGTTGGACACAATACATTTGTTTTATTTATTTATTTTTATGTGGTGTTGAGGACTGAACCCAGGGCCCCACGTGTGCTAGGCGAGCACTCTCCCACTGAGCCACAATCCCAGCCCCTCCACTCTCATTTTAACCTGAAATTCTTTTCTACTTATCTTAAATAACTCCTTTATCCTTTGGATTATAGCCAACATAATTATTATGTATAAAAATAGTAATGTAAGAAAGAATGATTTAAACTGAACCTTCTGTTAAAGAAAGTGCCTTTAAAATTTGATCTCTATAATGTTCCTACAAGTACAGAATTTTTCAAAACTTTTATGTTGGATCTCACTCCAAAAGACAATTTTGTTTGTAGAAATAAATAACTGACAAAGAACACAAAAGACTCCGGAGGTTTCTTACCAAGCAAATGAGCAGGAAGGCATCCAGTTGGACTGATATAGGAAGGGTAGGTATTCATCAACTTTGCTCTCACATAAGCATGAAGATGTTCATATAATGGTTTAATCTGAAAAGCCCAGGAAGAAAGTTTAAGACCCAGAGTAGCCAAATCAAATTTCCAATACCCAACACTAGAAACAAGAGCTTCTTTATATAAGTAGAATTTCCTAAATGATTTATTTTCCTCTCCAATATTCCAGAGAGTTTCAAAGCATTCCCTCTTTATAGGTATTGATGATGACTAGCCTTATCACATAAATCAATAAAAACACCTGTAAGAAGGCAGATCTCAGAAAGATAGCAGATACCCCCAAAAAAATTTTTTTAAAGATGTTATCTACTTCTTTCATTTTTAAATTGAGGTATAATTTACATATCATAAAATTCACCCACTTTAAGTCTACAGTTTCATAAGTTTTAATAAATTAAAACTGCTGAGAAACCATTACCACCATCCAGTTTTGTAATACTTCCATTCCCCCCAAATTTCCTTGTGCCTATTAGCAGCCAATCTCACTCTCATCTCCAGATCCCAGTAATCATAGAAATTATTCAGTCTCTATACTTCTGCCTATTTTGGAAATTTTATATAGACAAAATCATACGTGATCTTTTGTGTCTGGCTCCCTTTGCAGAGAACGATGTTTAGGTTCATCCATATCGTTGTGTGTATCAATAGTTCTTTCCATTTTATTACTAAGTAGTATTGCATAGTGTGAAAATATTAGAGTCAGTCTATCCATTCACCAGTTAAAACATGACTTGCTTATTTCCGGTTTGGTGCTATTATGACTAATGCTGCCATGAACATTTGTGTATGTCATTCTTGGATATGTGTATTTCATTTATCTCATACAGACAGCTAAGATTGGAATATCTAAGTATTATGGTAAGTGTACATATAACTTTTTAAGAAATTGTCAAACTGTTTCCCAAAGTGACTATCATTTTACATTTCTGCTAGTAGTCTCTACTGGTATTGTCAATCTTTTATTGCCATAGCCATTCTGGTGAATGTACAGTAGATTTTCATCATGATTCTGGTTTGCATTTACCCAATAACTTCTTACTCACTTTAGTCACTTGTGCAATTTTTTTTTGGGGGGGGATTATTTATTTTATTTTTGGTACCAGGGATTGAACTCAGGGGCACTCGATCACTGAGCCACGACCCCAGCCCTATTTTGTATTTTATTTAGAGACAGGATCTCACTGAGACCTTCTTTTGCTGAGGCTGGCTTGAACTTACGAACCTCCTGCCTCAGCCTACGGAGTGGCTGGTATTACAAGTGTGCACCACCATGTCTGGCTTACTTCCATTTTTGACAGTTCTGCCCAACTATGGTTGTGACAATAGATTCACATCAGAAGTTTAAAGGTGTAGAGATAAAGGGGAGGCATGGGAGGTCAAAATGAAAGAGGGGCATAGTGAGAAGTGTCTATAGGACACTTCTACTTATAGTACTCTCTTCTCTGTAAAAAATTCTTTAGTCAAGGGGAGGGAAAGGAGAAATACTAGGGAATGATACTGGTCAAATTATATTGTTATATTGTGTGCATATACAAATATGTAACAACAAATCCCACCATTATATACAGCTATAATATACTAATAAAATATGGGAAAAACTACCTTAGTCAAAGGCTAATGAAATAATAGTATCAATTGTTCCTCAGAAAGGAGAAAACCTTATGGTTCTACTAATAAAGGAAGACACTGCCAGCCACAAATAGCTCAGGAAAGCCATTCTTTATAATCTAAAAGATTATTCCTTCTTAGAATCTGTCTATTGGCAACTACTAATTAGTGAGTGAAAGGAGGAGTTAAGCAGAGCAACTCTGATCATGTGTAGGGGCTGCCCTATTATTCAAAAATCTTTTCAAGATCTAATATTCCATAATTCTAGTCGGCCTGGGAATGGCTGCCCAGTATGTTAAAAACAACCCAGAATGCCTTTAGAGATTTTCCCTGCTTCCAGTGTGCTCCGGTTCCTCAATTACCTCTGCAAATGTGCGTTCCACATCTTCAATCAACTGGTTGCGGTTATAGCCATAACCATCTGCTCCCTCTGCTTCATAATCTCCTCTCCAATAATCCCCATAGTCTTCATAATCTGGTTTTCAAAAGCAAAACAAGAGAACATAAGTGAAAGAAAAGAGAGAAAATGGAGTTTGCAAAGATTAGCTTGTGAGGAAGTTAAAAGAAATTTAAAGGTTTATCACATTTTTATTGTCCTTCACATTTTTATTGTACATCAACTCAAAGGAATATAAATGAATAACAACATTAGCTAATTCTGTTAAGCACTTGTTCTGTGTCAGGAGTTTAAATGTATTATCTTATTAATAAACACAAAACTATAGGAGATTGTCATTATTGGAGCCCTCACTACACAAATGAACAGCCTGTGCTTACTTCTGAAATAAATTGTATTGTGTATATTTAAGGTATACACATGATGTTGTGAGACACAGATACATATTAAAATGTTTATGATAGTGAAACAAATTAATATAACCATCATGTTGCATCTTTCCTCCCATAGCAAGAGCAGCTATAATCTACTCATTTAGCAAAAATTCTGAATATAGGAAACTACATTAACTGCAGTCCTCATGTACATTAGATCTCTAGACTCATTGTACCTGCTACTTTGTATTCTTTGACTTACATATCCCCATTTCCTCCTATCCCATCCCTAGTAGCCATGATTTTATTGTCTTTCTCTGTATATTTGACCTTTTTAAAAAAAAGTTTTTTTGGTTCCACACATAAGTGAAACCATGCAGTATTTTTCTTCTTCTGTCAAGTTTATTTCATTTAGCATAACATTCTCCAGGTCCGTCCATGTTGTAGCAAATGGTAGAGTTTCCCCTTTTTTAAAGCTGAATAACATTCTATTATACATTTGTTCCACAGTTTCTTATCCATTTGTCTGTTAATTGGTACCTCTGTTGTTCCCATTTCTTGACTATTATAAATAATGTACAATGAACATGGGAGTGCAGATATCTGTTTGAGGTGGTGATTTCATTTCCTCTAAGTATATACAAAGAAGAGGGATTGCTAGGTCACATACAGTAGTTCTTTTAAAATTTTCTTTAGGAACCTTCACACTGTTTTCTATAATGGCTACACCAATCTACATTGTCACCAACAGCCTATGCTTAGAGCAATTAAACCACTAGGCCAAGGTCATATAGCTGGTAAGGGACAGAAACACACTTCTACTTTCCCAGCCCTGGGTCTTTACTCCACATGTCAGTTTATATTATTAGCTTTAAAACATATGATTGAATCTCTAAATCTTTTTATTTTCATTTTATTCAGGACCTTAGATTTTCAGATATGATATAACCCATCTCAGACACTGTAACAGTGGGCCTGTGTTTGTTTGCAAATTATATGTATATATAGCACATCTCTCTGTGCTTCATTTAGTATCTAACCATCAGGAAAAACAAGCTCGTATTAGGGTATTAGCTAATAAAGTTTGCAAATGTATTTTAATCATTTTTATTTTTACACACACATTGGCAATGGATGATCAGGAAGATGAGGAAAGAAATAATTTGGATAGAAGGATATGCATGATATTATAATAAAATTGATGATAAGCTACTGTCTTCAGTTTGCCTAAGGCTGTGGAAGAAACTAATAACAATAAATGAAAAAAATTCTTACTCAACCCCAGAGGGCAGTGAATTATGAAAGCATAAAGTTATTCATAACACCATGACTTCAGCTCATTATAAAGGTAGAAGAATAAGTTATGAGATATGGAAATTCTTTCCCAAGTTAATATTTTTATGACTACTTGATTCAAGTTATAATTACAATGGAAAAAAAATAAAGGGTTTCCAGCTTAACCTGATTTTTTGTTTCTTTCTGAGCCATCACCCAGAGGTACATATGTAAATGAGCTTCTAAAATTTTTTTTTTAGTTGTAGATGGACACAATGCCTTTACTTTATTTTATTTACTTTTATGTGGTGCTGAGAATCGAACCTAGTGCCTCACACGTGTTCGGCAAGCGCTCTACCACTGAGCAACAACCCCAGCCCCTGTAAATGAGTTTTGAAAATGAACTATGGCCAGATGAGGGTTTATATAATGTCACTGTCTCTAATTCTCTCTAAGAAATAGGATACTAACTCAATCTCCTGATTCCCTCCTTCAGTCCCCTTGGGGGACTGAGACTTCCTTGGATAACTTATAATTAATAATTTCTGGACAATTAATTCCTTTGAGATCTTGTAGTTGAATCTCATTCCTGAGCTGTTTAAACCTTAGAGTTTCAATGCACCTTTTTATATGCCCCAGTAGTTTCCTGTTGAAACAGGTAACATGAATTGTTTAGCAAATGATTATTAATTTAGAGATATCTTAATATCAAGGTCAGGCTTAATAATGAATGAGAAATAATCCCATGGTCCCAGAGATCTCCAGGAACTCTAAGTCCAATAAACTTACTGTTTGCTCTTGCCATCTCATTTTTCAGGACCACGTACTCTTCATATAATGGCCTTAGCTGCTTGCCAACCTCAGACCTCCAACCTTCCCAAACCCAGAGCCTCTCATTGTAGTCGGTGCTGTTTGCCATTATTTCATCCAAACCTGTTATCCCAAAGCCCCAAAGGAAAATAAACATGCATTTGTAAAATTTTTTTTGTAAACAATTATATGAATTTTAAAGAATTAAAAGTAAAGTTGGCAGACATCAAGGTCAAGGTCATAAAGTTATTAAATGAAATCTTGTGATTAATTCACTTCCTTGCCCTTACTATAGATCCAAATTGTGTTTACAGAGAAAAATAAACCAGTGCAATAATTTACTTGACAAATTACTTGAATGTGATAGAATTTATAATGAGATTTTTTTGAAGTTAAAAGAGCATCTATGCTGAAACACAAATTTGTAATTTTATCATCTTTCAGTTGCCCATCTGAAAAGTGAAATGTCATAATCTAAAGTCAATCTCATTTTTAAAATTTGGTATTAAAAAAAAGTAAATTTCACAATCAGTACTCAAAATTAATAGCCTACCTGGCTCAAGTAGTAGGCACTCTTGAGGTTTTTTTGGGTTACACACTTTTCCAGTACTGTAGATGGTGCTCATCGTATTTAGAATTGTGTTCAACTGCAAATTAAAGATAATAAATAATATTGGAAACGGAAAATGTGCTAAAGAGAATGCTATCTTAAAGATATCCTTTTGGTTATGTGGCTTTTTTTAATATTTACTTTTTGGTTGTAGATGGACACAATACCTTTATTTTATCTACTTATTTTTATGCGGTGCTGAGGATTGAACCCAGGGTCTCACACATGCTAGGTGAGTGCTCTACCACTGAGCCACAACCCAGCTCCCTAGTGTGACTTTTTGATCCCTCAGAATGCAGCAATTCACTTCTTTTCTATATTTCTTCCTGTATGTAAGGGAGGAATACATTTAATTTTACTCACTGTAAACTAGCACATAGCCTTATAAACACATAATAAATGTATGTGGAGTAATTGAAATGAACATATCTACCAGAACTCCAACAATGTTTCTCAATTACTTATAGGAAAATATGTGCATTTTTTCTTTTATTCAGCATTTATTGAGTCTCTACTATGTCCTACACTTTGACAGTTCTGAAATAAACAAGTCACAGGCCCTCAAAGACCCCAGAGTCATGAGACAGTGAGGCAGCCATGAAATCAATAAATACATAACAGAATGACAAGTGTTATAATAACTGTCACCAAAAAGTGATGTGGCAGTATTGACGAGAGAGTAGAATAGGGATGTATAGCCTGGAGACTCACAAACGACTTCAAAGAGGATAAAACATTAGAGCTGTGTCACACAGAAGTAGGAATTAGTCTGGTACAGAAGGGAAGTAGAGAGAAGAGCCTAAACATGAGAGGAGGCTGGAAATGATAATGCATTTTCAAGGAGTGGCAAGATGTTGAATAAAAGTGGAGCACTGATGTTCACTGGGGAAAATGGAGGAGATGAGAAAGGCAGAGGTAAGCAGGGGCCAGATCATAAGGGACCATGTATGCCATAATGAAAAATTCAAACTTTGTTCTGTAGGTCAAGGAAAGTGATGATAATTATGTGAAGAAAGGCGTGCTATGCAAAGCATGCCTCTGGGTCAGTGCAAGGCAGCAAAAGATCTTTTCTATGCTGTGGTAGGCACAGGAATTGTGAGAGTACATGTTTATAAGCTTTAAGTGATTTGAAATTTCCATGGTACCTAAGTATGTAATTAATGAACTTAATCAAATATTGATTTGCTGTGGATTGGAAATAAAGGAAGAAAGGGAAGTGATGGGTGGGACTGGGGAAGGAGGGAGGAAGGGAAGATATGATTTAAGAAGCACTGTATTAAAGGTCCTGTTTCCCCTTTTCCTAGTTTTCTCTTCCATTATTTTTCTACTCTGCTACAGAGTCATTATCCTAAAACATTAACTAGATACCTTGCTTGAAACTTCCACAAATCCCATAGTCCAAGACAATAAACCTAGATTCTTTCCCTTGGCACAAAACTCCTCAGAGTCTCTTTCTCTATCTGCTTCCTTAATCTCCCTTCCTTCTCTTCGCTGAACACATGCATCCTGGAGTCTCCCTCCTTCCCAGACACTTCAAGCTCTTACTTGCATTTAAGAAGTTTTCAATTCTGGCTATCTATTAAAATTATTTGGGGATCTTTTAAAAATAGAATGTCCAGGTCCTATCCAGGCTAGAGTATGCTGCCTAAATTAAAAGGCCAAGATTTCTCATGGTGTCCTTGTGAAAACAATGGAGAAACATGGAATGGATAAGATAAAGAGGATTGATAACTCATGGGATAATTGGATCCAAAGAATGCAGAATAATAAATATCAACTTGTAGAAATAAATACCATATGGCTTTATCTTTGTCCTTATCATGCATTTTTATTTTTATAAAAATGTCCTCGTTCCAAAGGACAAGTAACTGAGAAAGACGACTTTGATGTTAAATAACTAAATATTTTAGATAAAAATATTTCAGTAGGTTATAACAGGGGTCTGCAAACTATGGTCTGCAGACCAAATCCTGTCTGTTGCTTGTTTTTGTTAAGTTTTGTTGGAATACAGCCACATCCATTCATTTATGTATTAGCTATGGCTGACTTCCTGCTACAATGGCAGAACTGACTAGTTGTGACACCAACAATATGGCCTGCAAAACCTAAAATAGTTACTATTTGTTCCTTTACAGAAAAAAAACTTTGTCAATTCTTGGGCTAGAGGAATGGAATGAGGGATGTTATTTTAACAGGGGTGAATACAGGCTTTCTCGAATTTGGACAAACTATCTAAGAAAACAAAATTTTAGAGTGCCATTTGAAAGCAACATTGGTGGAAGAGATTTGGAGACTCATTGACAGTGAGGTTGACATGAGCCAACCATGGCATTTGGCTATCAAAAAACAAAACAATCTAATATAGTCCTTGACTGTCTTAGTTGGTGTAGATCACGGGGTGCAGAGTGACACATTCCTACTCACTTCTTTCCATATCAGAACCCTGTGTCTTCTTTCACCCTCCAAGAGATGCCAGTTTGTATAATAAATTACAGTCACTTGACCGAGGTACAAATCTCTTTCTAATGTCAGCATTACTATCTTTGCAGATGAAGGAAGCATCCACGGGTGACATTAATGTTAATATTTCCCAAACATTTCAACTCTTGGGGGCAGTACTGAAATGTTCCAAAACATACCTGTTCCCTCTTATTGGCGGAGAGCGCTGAAGACCCACTCTGCTGAAGGGCCTGCAATTGACGCTTGAGTGTGAAATTTTGAATTTCTTGTAGTGGATAAGCTGTAGCAAGCTTTGACTGCTCTTCATAAAAGGCAGACCATTTGGCCTCAGCCTCATTCTGAAATGGCAAAAAATAAAAAATAAAATAAAATTGAAGTTGGAAGAGCACAGATTAAATAGATAAAGCAGAAGATACAGTCCAGAGAACATCTGGTGAAACATATACTATTTCCTGAGTGGCTTAGTCCTCTACTTTGCTGAAGGTCAAGGTCAGGTTAAGGGTGACCAGGCCACTCTTGGTCACTCTCTCTTTCTGGCCCAGTGCCTAGTTTTCCCAAGGGTCCTGTCCCCAGAACTGGAAGTAAATTCTCACAGATAATTCACACTGTGAGGCCCTGGAATTTATGGCCTTAGTTCAGTGACTGGGTGAGTTGGCTAAGGATTCAAGGATGAATGCTCTTAAAAGAGAACTGAGTAGAACGCAGAGTGGACATAGTGGGAATATAGTCCCTCATGACCATGGGAAACAAGAGGAATGAATGAGAACCAGATCACAGTAAGTTCCTAGGTGTTATGACATAGCACAGAGATTCTGAACTTAAGTTGTGATCCCAAAAGAAGGCTTCATAGGATGTGGCTATTTGGTAGCCATGGAAACTTTCTACCAGCAAAAGAAATCAATAAGCAGGATGCCAGGACACACTTGCCCCCACCCCCAATCCATCTTGAATATCAGTAGGAAAGTACACTTCTCTAGCAGTCTTCTCCCTCCAAAATAAATTCATTTCCATGTATCAAAGATTAAAATGAACAACTACTTTGTATATCATACTTTCCTAGACCATACAAAAGAGTAGCATATGAAATAGGTAAGAACTTCATCCCTGGAGTCAGACACCTCTGACTAGCTATATGACCTTGGACAAATTACTTAGCATCTCCAAGCCAGTTGCCTTATCTGCAAAATAAGAGTAATAATAGGACTTCTATCAAAGGGTTGATGGAAGGATTAGAAGAATTAATAATTAATAAAATGATTGCCAGAATGCCTGACACATCCTAAATATTTAATAAATGTTATTTTATTATTTACAGAGAAAAAAATCCTTGCTCTCAAGTTGCTTTAATTTTATCAGATGGATAAACATCATGAATGTTTCATTTATGAAACATGAGTATATAATACTGAATAAACTATGAGTGGCCCAATTTGTGTTATAAGAAATGAAAAATTCATGTGGGTAATCAGACTTGGCCAAGCCTTCATAGAGGAGGTAGAATGTAAGACAAACTTTAAAGTATGTATGAGTTGGATGAGTGTAGAATCCTCTGCAAATCATTTACCTCATTTGAGCTTTTATTTAATTTTTTGGTACCAGGAACTGAACCCAGGAGGCACTTAACCACTGAGCCACATCCCCAGCCCTTTTATTCTGAGACAGGGTCTCTCTAAGTTACATAGGGCCATGTTAAGTTGCTGAGGCTGGCTTTGAATTTGCCATCCTCCTGCCTCAACCTCCCGAGTCACTAGGATTACAGGCATGCACCACTGTGCCTGGCTTCATTTAAGATTTTAACAACTGTGAGATAGAAAACCACTGTGTCTCCATTAGGCTTAGAGAAATAGTGGAACTGGCAATCAATTACCAGCATTCAATCCTGCATGTGGCAGACAGATGGCTCCCCCTCTGGTGGGCACACCCTTTTCTTAGGAACAGACCTGTGACTTTCTTCTAGCCATCCGTGTACAGCAAGGTGACAGGATATACATATTTGTATCACAAAAGATCACAAATTTTATCTTGCTAGAAGTCTCCTTTGTTGACTTTGATGCAGCAAGAAGCCATAATACAAGCTATCTTATGGAAAGGGCCACATGGGAAGGAATCCAAGATGGCCTCTGACTAACATTCTGCAATAAACCAAGAACCTTAGTTCAGCAGCATACAAAGATCTGAATGTTAACATCAACCACACTGGCTTGGAAGTAGCTCTCTCTCTCCTCAAGCCTCAGATGAGACCCCAACTCTAGCTGCCACCTTGAATGTGACTTATGAGAATTAGAAATACAAGATCCAGCTAAACTGTGCCTGGACTCCTCACCCACAGAAACTGTGGGAGATTACATGTGGGTTATTTTAAGCCACTAACCTTGTGGTAACTTTTAATATAATAGGTAACTAGTACAGATCCCACAGGCAGAACTACAGGCATGATTGCACTTTCCAGGCCAAGGAATTTTACTTTTATCCTGTGAATATCAAGCAGTCACTGAGAAGCTTTAAACAGGCATGTGACATGATGAGAATTGTACACAACAGTCACAATAATGGACCAAACAAGAGATGAAGAAAAATAGTGGCAGTGAAAATAGAAAACATTTTTTTTTTGTCTTTATTGAATACCTACAACCCCTCAGGAACTGCTTCTCAGTTAATCTTCACATGTGACAACTTTTTGAAGAAGTTGTCATCATCCCCATTTTTAAAATGAGGGAAATGAGGCAGAGCAGGTAAGCAACCTTTCTTAGGTCACACAGCTAGTAATTGAAAGAACCGGGGCACCAACCCAGGTGTATTTACTTCCAAAGCTAATGCTCTGAACCACTGTCTTAGGGATTGTATTTGACACATTCTAGTTTTCTCTCTAACATGCAGGAGTGGGAAGGAGTGAACTGTGGAAAGAGGAATTTGGTCTACATATAACTGTCTTATCAATCCCTACCTTTCTTCATCCAGTCCAGGATAATTTTTTCTTATGTAAAATTTCTGGTAAAACTTTGATGGCAAATTATAATGTTATTGCTGATCATTTTTGAAAACCACTAACAACTACCCCAAATGCTTCAGTCTTACAGTATTTTTTATTTTATTGCATGTGAGAACTTTTAGGCTATTTGATTTGATTTTATTTGTCACTACTATTTTACAAGTGTTATACTTTATATCACCAGTTACTTCACATTGCCTTGCATTTTGGTCTCTGAGGATACACTGTTCCTTCCCAAGCTATTCTATTTAATATTATTTACAACTTATTTCATATCCTCACATTAAGGCTCTTGAGCCTAAATAAAACAGATTGGCTGGAATACAGAGAATGAATGTCAGTTCATACATACTATTCAGATTGTTTAGATAATGGTCAACAGCTACATGTAGTTTTTGGACCTGAATAATGGGTAAAATGAAACATAGTACACTAGTCTACATAAATCCAGGGCTTGAGAGAAACTAGTACAGATAACATATGTGACATTCCACACTTGAGAGAAACTAGTACAGATAAAATAGGTGACATTCCACACTATCTCTGTGGAAGGCAGGAGAGAAGCAACTAACAGAGGAAAATTTTCCATAGCCATACATGAGCATTTGGGAACAAGACACACATTGTTCATCTAGTACCTTGGAGCATAACAAGCTTGGAAGAAAACCTTGAGTTCCATATTCTGGCCCAGTTTCTAGATATGGCTCTCAAAGCCACATCAGGTTCAAAGATGAAGCTGCCCAGGTTACATTTTAAGTATACCCCTCCCCCAAACTGGCATTAAAAAATAACCCTTCTTTTTTAAAAAATATTTTTAGTTGTAGATGGACACAATACCTTATTTTATTTATTTATTTTTATGTGCTGCCAAGGATGGAACCCAGTACCTCACAAGTGCTCTACCACTGAGCTACAACTGGCTTTTTTTGTGTACTGGGAATTGAACTCAGGGATACTTAACCACTGAGCCACATCCCCAGCCTTATTTTGTACTTTATTTAGAGACAGGGTCTCACTGAGTTGCTTAGTGCCTTGCTAAGTTGCTGAGGCTGGCTTTGAACTCGAAATCCTCCTGCCTCGGCCTCCTGAACTGCTGGATTACAGGTGTGCGCCACTATACTAGGCTCCAAACTGGCATATTTTTTAAAACACTTATTTAACAGTAATATAACTTATATGAATATGAATTCTACCACTCCACCTTAGGATTCAAAATATATTTTTTTGGTATTTTACATGAGAGTTTTAATAGTTGAAAACTTTAATTTTTAAACATTTCTAAACTTTTTTGTTTTTCTGAATTTTATCTTCTGAGGGAAAAGTGCTTAGCTCTAAATTCCATTTTACTGCATTACAGTGTCTTTCCTTACTCCCATGCTTGTGTGTGGGTATTATGGGTACATTGAAGCATGGGACAGACCCGTTAGAGATAAGGATTAAGTCAACATTGTTTTTCCTTGAGTATAGAATAGTGGTTTTGAAATACCCTACTCTGCCAGGCACAGTGGTACATGCTTGTAATCCCAGCAACTCCCGAAGCTGAGACAGGAGGATGGCAAGTTCAAAGCCAGCCTCAGCAATTTAGCAAGACCCTATCCAAAAATAAAAAATAAACAGAGCTAGGAATGTGGCTCAGTGGTAGAGTGTCCCTGGGTTAGATCTCCAGTACCAAAAAAAAAAAAAAAAAAGTGTGGGTCTCTAACTTCTGACAACTAAGAAGTATTTATGAAGTGTTCTTAAAGACCTTGCAGACTCCAGTAGGGCAGTCTTAAATGTGCACTCCAGTTTCATTGACAAGAGTTTGGAGCAGCTGTAGTTGGTACTACCAAATACTAAAACAATGAACCAGGCTGTCTTTACTAGCAATGGAATCTTGCTCTCTCCAAGGATAACAATGGTCCAGGACCACCTATGTTGCTGGAGAGTTTTCGGCTTCACTATTAAAAATCAAGTGTGTTCTTTCTAAAGTTGCTTTTAAGGAGGTCCCTATTTTTCCTCTATAGCACTAGGTTTACCTTTGTGCAACTTTAGATCAGAATTGAGGTGCACTAAGAAAAGATTTTGATTATCTTTCTATTTGCTTAAACTCTTATTATTATTTACTCCATTGCATCTTCATAACTAGGTTTATGATTTAGTTTTCCTGCTGTTTACTAATGTTCTGATTAATGAACTTGTTAATTTCCCATATTTGTAAGCCTTAGAGAAGATTTACAAAGAATTCTATTAAAAAAAAACAATAAAGTTACAAAGAAGGGGCAGTGCATAAAAATATCATTTTACTGAGAGGTTAATTGTACTTTAACTGGTGAATATTCAATCTATATTTGCTGTAAAGCAAGGGGGCAA